GAGCAGCCGTGTTAGTCTGTATCCGCAAAAAGAACAGGAGGACTTGTGGCACCTTAGAGACTAAAAACACAATGAAGACAAGGCACCTTAGTTTTCCTGAGGTTGGGGTAAACTCTCTTAGATCAACCCAAGGGGGAGTGGGGTGAAGAGCTGACCGTATGATAGTTCATGTGCATTAAGATAACCCACAGTAAAAAATGCCAGGTTTCAGAGTAACAGCCGTGTTAGTCTGTATTCGCAAAAAGAAAAGGAGGTCTTGTGGCACCTTAGAGACTAACCAATTTATTTGAGCATAAGCTTTCGAATGCATCCGATGAAGTGAGCTGTAGCTCACGAAAGCTTATGCTCAAATAAATTGGTTAGTCTCTAAGGTGCCACTAGTACTCCTTTTCTTTTTAGTAAAAAATGCATCTTTTTTAGCAGTGAAGACAAGACATATGTTTCAGCATGGAATACACTGTTTCCATCCTCACAGACTTCAAAGGAAGCAAGGGGAATTCATGAGAGCCTGTTTATCATAGTCTAATCACATTACTGGAGAGATTAGAGGCACTTCGCTGTGTCTTTGTGAGTTTAGTGACATGTCAGACCCATCTTCAAGTGCTATTAAAATCTTCCTTGTGGGATGCTAAGTAAATAGGAAATATTTTACTCCTTAGGATTAGAACACAGAGAACACACTGAATTCCCTCATCAAAGTGAAGGAGTACTTGTGGCACCTTAGAGACTAACCAATTTATTTGAGCATAAGCTTTCGTGTCTGAATGCATCCGATGAAGTGAGCTGTAGCTCACGAAAGCTTATGCTCAAATAAATTGGTTAGTCTCTAAGGTGCCATAAGTACTCCTTTTCTTTTTGCGAATACAGACTAACACTGCTGTTACTCTGAAACCTCATCAAAGTGACTCAGACGGAGACAAGACTTGCATAAGGGTCCATGCTGCCTCCACTGGACACATTTATCAAATTGGATATCTCAGAAAATATATTTGTTTAAACTGTAATTTCATATCAGTTCAAGAGTTGTTCATTCAGGGGTAGAATTCCACACTTCTGTAATTATGTGAAGAGTTACACCAAGCGAGGGCATCACAGAAGTGTTTGAAGAAACCTTGATTTCCTTAGCATAGTTGTATCTGAGTTAATAGGTGACCGCTTGGTTGTAGAGGTGATGTGCCGGTTTTCAGCATATATTTCAGCTGTGTTGCCTTTACATCATCATCTGGCCTTCAGTTCAGAGCGTGCCATTGATGTTTGCCTCCGATTGAAAATGAGGTCATAAGAGAGAGACTGCAAAGTCTTTTCAGATCACAGTCCACCCCCTTGCAAATGTTACAATTCCCAGATAAAAAAGGTAGAAAATATTAAACAGATGGTACACTTGACCTCAGCCAAAAGACCAAGAAGAAGCAATTGCAACACAAGGGTTAGGGTCTGAAACTGTAAAAAACAAAAACAAACAAAAAAAACACCTGTCCCTGTAATGAAGGTTTCAGAGTAATGAAGAAAGATCATGGGGTATGTGGTAAGATGATCCATCTAGGATGGGAAAGGAAACTGGAAGGCTTAAAAAAATGGATAAAAAATTATTTTTAAAATCCCAGATTAAAAACAGGTTAAAATTACAAACAGATATATATTTAAAATAAACCACAAAACCTTTTTCCTGCCAAGGCCTGGGGTCAGGGTTCCTTGTGCCTCCAGCAACAGCTCCTGAGAATGGTACTCAGTAGGGAGCTGCATTCCTTACTTTGTTCCAGGGAGTTAGTAATGTTAACAGCACTTGCAAGGGAAACACAGAATCTGAACACAGGTCCTAGAAGGTAAGTAAAAGAGGAGGTGGTTTAATTTTTTTAAAAAATTTCAAACTATATATTTTTAAATGTAGAGCCAAATTGTTTGCTGAAATATCTCTATTTAATTTAGCTGAGTTCTGCCAGCTGATAATATGGCCCTAAATGTCTACACATGTATAAAGTGCAAATGATACGGGATTTAAAACTGGTATTTATCTCTTTTGGATAAACACTGAATTGCCTGACTAGATACTACAAAATGTTAACACAAATCTCTGTTTTTGAGTATACGGTTGCCAGGATTATTTTATCAGGACTGCCAATTTAATGCAAGAAGTTCCCATGTCCATTCACTCACCTGGTTGAACTGGCCATCCAATCTTTTATAATCATCTTTGTATGAGTGACATTAACAAGTGTTTTCTTAACAAGTATCCTCTAATGCCAGTAGTTTAAATGGGAATATTTTACTCTCAACCAGTTGTGCTTTTACCTGCCTTCAGCAGATTTGTTTTCTGGGCATGAATTGAAGAGGGACAACACCTGCAGAAAGTTCATATTTCATTGTTGACACTTGTGAGGCACTAGCATCAATGTGTGTGTCCCTTTTTGACTGAGAAAAAGAGAATTGCAAAGAGAATGGACTATGCTTATCAATATAGAAGAACCTTGTCCTATATGATCAGCCTATGTTGTTCTTATATGCAGTTTTGCAAAATTGTCAAGCCCTTAGCGAGTTCCAGACTTGATTTAAAAGTTTACTTCAAATTACCGGACCAGCATGTGAATTATCTTGTTGATTTCATGAACTAATATTCATTGTAGCTAGAACTAAAGCATGTTTTCTTTTATTTTAAATGTTGTTCCAAATGGAAAACAATACTAGTTAATGAAAGGAAATTGTCTTTAACCTTATTTTTGTGAATATTTTGTGTCCTTGCATGACAGGCACTCTCCACTTTTTTAAAACAGTCGTTAGATTTGGGAAAATGTAACATGTACTATAGAATGTTGATACACATCTTCAGTCTTCTGCAAGTAACATCGGAACACCTGCAGTAAGCTCTATAAGCAGTTACAGATAAGTGTATTCAGATTTGGTGCTTAATTTGTGCCAGAGCTTGGCAGGACTGAGCCCTGGCACCTCTGGGCTTGGCAGTTCATAGCCCTGGCACCTCTGTTCGCTGCATCAGTTATGAATGTAAAAAAATTGCTTGAGCCCAGCACCTAATTGCTTGAGCCCCGGGAACCTCTTTCATTACAAATTAAGCACTGGTCAGATTACACACACTCTTACAAGACAGCTCTGCATAACTCAGCCTTCGTTGTGATTTCTGTGGTGATACCAGAACAATAAAAGATGTTAAACTGTATTTGTCTCTGCAGTTTTAGAAAAGTTTGCCATCTTCTGGTAATGTTTAGTTACTGCATTATTTCCCCTGCTAATGGAGCCATTGTGGGGCTCTGGTTGCACAAATTGTGTCTGAACACAGATCACAAATATCATGTATTGTGTACATCCTCCAATTGCCACCAGAGTAACACTTTCTTTTCAACTGTAAATCGGTTTCAAAAATGCTGCGTGTTCTTGAGAATTAAGTTGAAAAGCTTGTTGGCGCCTACAAAATAACATTATCTGGATGAGAAAGAGGAAATGGACAAATATGTTTTACTTTTATAATATTGTTTTGTAGTGACTCCTACATATATCTCACTTAATCATTTCCCTGCCATTGCAGGGGCCTTGAGCATTGGTGCCCCTTGCAGCTCCGTCCCTCCTATTCTCTGCCTGTGGCACATCATAGATAGTCCTGTGGGCTATCATACACTGGACTTCTTTTCGGCTGTTGGATTTAACGTGCAGGCGCTGGCTGGTGTTAGTGGCATATGACATACAGGAGGTCAGATTGGATGATTTGGTGGTCCCTTCTGGCCATGAACTCTATAACTCAAATATGCTGTTGTGGCTGCATAAGCAATTTTGCTCTGAACCCTTTTTTCCAGTCTAATTTGTAGATGTGATCTGAGCCAGAGTTTGGGCAGATGAGCTTCAGTGTGGGAAGCAACTTTTTAAAAAAAATTGTTTAACTTGTATCAGCACAAAAAATACACATAGGGCTTCAACATGCAAAGTGCTGCACACTTTGGCCCCAGCCAGCAAAGCAGTTATGCACATGCTTAACTTTGTCTCATTATTTCCTTGTGCTCCCCTATGTATCTGTCTGTATCTAGCTGTTGTCTCTTGTCCTTATGCTTAGATTGTAAGCTCTTTGGGGGCAGGGACCGTCTTTTTGTTCTGTGTTTGTACAGCACCTTGCAAGATGGGGTCCTAGTCCCCTTGAATTAAATGGAGTGACTCCTACTTTACAGTGGAGTATTTGAACAAAGAATTGGGCCAGTAGTATTTATCAGATTGGTCAGTTGCAAGATCAGAGTTCAGGATTCTGCATTTCCCCTGCAGGAGATAATGATATTATAGCTGTCTAAAGCTTTTGCAGGACAAACATTGTGCTCTGTGTTTTCTTTCTATATAAACCCTACAGAAGGTGAACACTTCCCTGGAAAACGGTATTCATGGCTTTTCTCTTCCTAAAGTTAGTCAGGATAGGAATAATGATGGTGCATAAGGGCTAGGGGGGCATGACCTAAAATCCACGTATTGTCTACCAAGCAACAGGAGAGGACATTGGAGTCCCCACTGATCTTGAGCCAAGTATGGTGATAGCCTAACATAAATGTGTTTTCTGAGTGCAAGGCTTCTGATTGCATGTGACCCATGCAAGACTAGCCATTGTATTGCATTTCCTGGCTTCCCTCTGTTGTGTTTGATACCAAAACGTTTGGTACAGACGTTTTGTACTTATCATTAAAGCTTGGAACTGGAGGGGTCAACCTCATCTAGAAGTAATAAACCTAATTTCAAATGCCATTCGCCTCCATTGTTCCTACAGCCTGATGAATTGCCAGAAATCCTCCTGGAAAAGTAGGGGTGTCTTATTATTTGTTTAATTCACTCTTTATGCTTCATTCTACATTGTCTGAAATACCTCTGATGAGCATTATAACCAAGAATGTATAGAGGAACCTTCAGAGATCTTTCCTGATCTGCCTACAGTTCTCTGGCCAGTGTTGTTATATTTGAGACATGCAGGGCATTTGTGAAGCATGGAAAATTTGACTTACCTCTTACTGTAACCCTTTCAGGGTCGACCGGGATCTATTGGGAACCAAGGACCTATAGGTGTTCCAGGATTTGCTGGGCCAGAAGGTTTGGCAGGGCCAAAAGGTGAGAGAGGGGCAGTGGGCTCTCCAGGATCAGCTGGACTGAAAGGAGATAAGGTAGGTTCAGTAAGTGTTTTCCTCTTTTTCCCTGCAGTAGATGTGATCACAGCAGCTCTTTATGAGTGAATAAAAATAGTACTGGACTATCTCACTGCTGTTAAGTTTGAGAAACATCTCCAGAGGAACCACTGTGTTTAGTCTGAGGGTGACAATCTTGGTCGCTGAATTATACAGCGTAGTATATACAGTCCAGCCTGTCACCTTCTGTTGGCTGATTCACAGTAAAATGGGCTTCAACATTGCATGTGGGGTCTTTTGCTTTACATAACCATCAGAATGTATTTTGCCCTGACATAAGTCACAAGAAGAGATGAAAGAAGGGTGGGACATTACTAGGATACCCCTAGAGGGAAATCTAACAGCCGTACCTATTTCTGACAGTCAGATCCTACCAAAGTTAAGTGAGTGATCATCATGTTGGGAGGTGAAATTCTTTGTTGGAAAGTGCAAAGTAATGCACAATGAGGGAATAATATATAAATTACTTCTACATCTTATTAGGTTCTAAATTAACTGTAACAACATTGTAAAAAGACTGGAACATTACTGAACTTAGTGAAAACATCTTCTCAAAGGGCAGCAGTGGCCAAAATAGCAAACACAATTATGAGCTATATAAGGAATGGAATGGAATATAATACAGAAGATATTATAATGCCATTAGTGATCAGTTCTGTCACCCCACCTCAAAAGGGACACAGCAGAAATAGAGGGCTTTCAGAGACAGGTGATGAGAATGAAACAAGACATGATCAAACCCTCATATTAAGAGAGATTAAAAAGATTGGGACTGCTTACCTTATAGAGGAAATGAGTAAGGATTCAGAATAATGACAGGTGTAGAGAAAACAGAGAGGGCACGGCTATTCAGCCTTTCTCCTAAGACAAGAATAAGGGAACATTCGGTGAAACTGAAAAGCAAAACATTCAAAACTGAGCAGAGGATATACTCCACCCCCCTTCCCACAGTGCACAAATATCCTGTGGAACTCATTGCTCCAAGGTGTTGCTGAGTCTGAGGTGGGCAGGATTCAAAACAAGGATAAAAAGAACATCCAGAATTATAACAATAAGGTCTAAAAATAATAATAAAGAGTTCTGGAAGAGAGAAACTCTCCTGCTTTAGGGCAGAAGCCAGCCTCTGACTATCAAGGATTAGGAAGAACCTTTCTCTGACGGACACTTATCCTGGAGCTGCCTGCTTTGCACCTTCCATTGAAGCAGCAAATATTGGCCACTATTGAACCACTTATCCGCTCCGGGATAGCTGCTGCTATCACAGACATTTTCTTTTACTATGGAGGTACATGCAACATCCAGCAGCTCTAACAGGTTGGCAGAGACAAGACATTATTCAGTTGGAACAGATGCAGGAGTAATGTAAATTAATATAATATTTTGCATATTTCTCAGCTGGCAACATCTGAGAATAATGGTATAGGCTGGTTCAGACAAAATTGCAGATCCAATTGTAACATTTCTTGAAACATTTGTGAGGCCAGGATTTAATCTCTATTGAAAGCCATGTATTATTAGCATCACACTGTGCCCCAGAGGTGCAATAACAATTTGTGTTTCACTTTTAAAATACTGAGTGAAAACATTTTGGGGGAATTAATTTAGCAGCCTGTCTGCTGAGCACCCTCAGTTCCAAGCTCATTGACTGCAATGAAAATGAAGGAGCCTGTGTGCCTAGTATGAGATGTTCTACTCCTTTTACTGAGGATATCTGATCATCTACCCTCACAAGATGTAGAATACAAGAGTTACCTGGGTGATATATGATACATATAAAGAATAAAATGCATGTGACTGACGCATAGGATTGTCCAAGTAAAGTATTACTTGTGTCCTCTTTCCTTTAGGGTCCAATGGGAGTGCCTGGATTTCAAGGCATCAATGGGATTCCGGTGAGTTTTTGTGTGTAAATATATAAATATAAGGCAATTGCATTTGAGCACAGAGACAGCATCCCAGCATGCGCAAGGGCACAATGCCAGGCTTGTCCCAAACCTTTTCTATAATATTTATTATAATAATTTTAATGTAATTATTTTACCACTTTATCTCCTGTCTGGGGTAAAAGAGGAGGGTTGATTAGAGTCTATAGGGGCTCTATGTCATTTGTAAGCGACTCGGATATCTTGATGGTAAGTATCAGATAAATGGACATTTGCAAGGGATACATCCATGTTGTATAAGAACGAGAACTGAGTCTGAGGCATGTTTGCACCTATAATTCAGCCTCACCAATGTTCGAAGGTGTTCACATCCAACATTTTAGTTCAGAACTATTTCTAGTAAACTCTTGTTGCGAGTGAAACTGCTAAATTGGAGTTGAGAGACCCTACAGAGATTCTTTGCTTCCCACCACCTGGGGCTAATTAGTTCTAATTTGGATCTGGGCTGGTCAGAACATTTTGCCAATAAAACAGGAAAGAGGCAGCTACAGCGTTTTCCAGATAATAGAGCTAAATACAAACTCTCCCCAGCTTATCCATTTTATTTGCTTTCTTTTTCTTTAGAACTTTGACAGAGAACTTGAACATTTTTTTGTCAAAAAATTGTTTTCTGTCAAAAACTGAATTTTCATAATAAATTCAAAATCCAGAATATTTTTACTTGCTCCACTCTGTTTTCTTGCAGCTCTTCTTGCATAGATGTCTTCCAGATCCCTTCCTTATTGGTTCTGGTTTTGTGGTTTGTTTTTTTTTAATGATGCAGACTATCCTCTTCTATTCTTTTCTCTCTCTACATTATTTGGTTCACTTTGCATTTTTTCCCTTTCTATAGTCTAATTCTCTTCTGTTCTTTGCTGATTTTTCCATTTTCTGTATCCTTCTTTCTTCTCCACCTTGTGTGTTCTCCCTCGCTCTCTTTTCTAGAATTGATTAAATACTCAAAAAACTGACAGTTTCTGAAAATGTTTGTTGGAAATGTGCAGTCGGGACCATGTGGGCAAGCTGTGCTCTGCTCTCTCCTGTTCCACCCAAGTTACTCTCCCTGCCTTCAGCAATTTCTTTCTTTTCTCCTTCCCCTGCTCATCTTTTGCCTGCTTTCTGTTCTCTTCTGCTCCCTTTCCACTGAGTTTTTTTTTCTTTTTCCACCAGCCAATCCTCAAACTGTAACGAGACTGAGCTGTTCCCATAATATTGAATATAATTGAACACATTGTGGGAACAAGCTGTTCTCAGGGTGTTTTTTCAAATAAGGCTCTGGGGAGTGGGAATTCCCAACATGGCAGAGGGCGATACTGTCGTGGAGAGTGCTAGGAAGCTGGCAGCTACAGACATTATAAGCAAAGGCTAGGGGAGTTAGACAAAGGGGATTTGAAACCTCATGCCTGTCTGGATCTGATCTGTTTTCTTTACAGCATGCTGCAGGTGGATGAGTGGGAGGAGGCTGATTTTGCTCATTGTGAAAACAGATTATTCAAGAGTATGGCCCTTCTTCCTCTGAACTCGACTGGATTGGAGCCATCTTCCCCTTACAGATGCAGAGAAGGGGCAGTGGAAATTTTAAAAGCAGTGCATTTTGTTTTCATTCTTGCTGCTGAGATAAATGGCTTCTTTTCATGGTGAAAATAGAGAATCCTGCTACTTGGAAAAATATGTATAGTTCTCCAGTATTATTGTAATTGCATTTCAGGATAGGGAAAAGCTTAGACTTGTTGTGAAATACATATCTACAGTCATTATCTAGGGTGTGTGTGGAAATACATTGCTTTGCCTGCACAATTGTTAACACCGTAACCACTGTTCTGATTATGGTATGTGGGCGTGAGGGTGTGTGTTTTATCGGTATTCCTGAGGTTTGCTCAAAGGGGACTCCTAATGGTGACCCTGTGGGAGGTGGTGGTCAGCTGAGGTCACCTGTGAGATGTTGATAGCTGGTAAATCATGGTGTTGCAGTTGGGCTGATGCATCCCTTTGATCTAGTACATACAGCAGCAGCATGTGTTTATTAATTGTTAGCCTTAGACAGATTGTAGAAATGGCTTTTAAGTCCTCCTCTCTACTGTATATGTTTAGTTTTTCCCATGGGGATTAGTTTCAAACACATCCCTGGCAAAGGTTTGGAAATAGAGAGAGAAGATTTATATGGTTTTAGCTGAGTATACAGGACTCTAAAAGGAAATGTTTCTACAAGTGGTGAGTCATTGCCTGTGCCAGGAAACACAGACCTGGGCAGCAAGAGACTATATGTTGATCTTGGCGCTGGTCAGAATGGTCCCTTTGCTCTAATGCTAAATGAAGCTGCTTATTAAATTAGTTTTGGTTCACTCTTGTTTGCATATGTTTCCCTCTTCTTTTAAATATTTGTTGAGCTCTCCCGTTGAGATTGCCTTTGCACAAAGTCTGTGTGATTTAGAAAGCACGCTCTTCAGAGTCACGGTGTTAGGGTAGAGAGAGAGAGAGAGAGAAAGCAGGGCTCTAGTGCAGGGGTGGCCAACCTGAGCCTGAGAAGGAGCCAGAACTTACCAGTGTACATTGCCAAAGAGCCACAGTAATACGTCAGCAGCCCCCCATCAGCTTCCCAGCCCCCAGCGCCTCCCACCCACTGGCAGCCACCCCGATCGTGGGGTGCAGGAGGCTCTGGGAGGGGGGAGGAGCAAGGGCCTGTGGCAGAGCCAGGGGTTGAGCAGTGAGCACCCCCTGGTGCATTGGAAAGTTGGTGCCTATAGCTCCAGCCCCGGAGTCGGTGCCTATCCAAGGAGCCGCATGTGGCTCCGGAGCCACAGGTTGGCCACCCCCGCTCTAGTGGGACAAGTCACTTTGGAGGAGCCGGTTCCCTTTTCTACTTCCCAGGGAACCTTTTCCTTTATGAGCGCCCCCAGCCCCCCTCCCCACCCCCACCCCCCACCACACACTCTGTGTTAGCATGAGCCTGCGAATCATCCACCCTGCCATGCCATAATTACAGACCGTAAAGTTCTCCTGAATTAGTCTGTTGTGGTACCTGTTGTTCCTTTTGTGCTGAGCTAGCAGATCTGGCAAAGCATGTGATAGCCGGAATTAGAGAAGGAGAGAGCAATGAAAACAATTAGTCACAATTTTTCAGGCCAAACGAGCTCTGTTGATCAGTGTGGAAAAGATCTCATTTAAGGCTAGATCCTGGGAGATGATGGGTACCTGCACCACTCAGTGAAGTTAGAGAGTTGTGGTTGCATCTCTCAAGATCAGGCCCTTACAACAGGATGTCACAAATTAACTAAGAATACAGATTAGCCAGAAGGTAGGGAATCCTAGGCTTTTCCCAGTCTGAGGGGAATGTATAATGTATGTGTGTGATGCTTTTTCAGAAGAGGCTTTAACTATCTAACATGTGGATGTTATGGAGATTGATACTGCTATTTAAATTCCAAGCGCCAAGTGCTAACACCTTGGTATTGTGTCATTGCCTGTCATTTAAATACACTTCACTCTACTTGTGCTAGTTCCATTGCACTGTCCCTTTTCTGTAGGGAGAAGGAAGGCATTAAACCAGTACTACACCAGTGCCTGATCCCTCTGCACAGGGCCAGATTCTGCCCTGAATTACGTCTGTACTACCCCATTGCTTCAAGTCAGTGAAGCTAGTCCAGGTTTATGATGGAGTGAAAGAGATCAGAATCTGGCTCATCCAGTACAGAAGGTGTTATTAGGATGCTAGGATAGAAATGAAAAGATAGCATGTGGGGTCAACGTGCAACAATCTTTGCTGGAAAACTTACAAAAGCCCTTCCTGTCCCCACAAAAGCAACGTGTCCCATGGGATATTTGCTGTATGAACCAATAGCATGTGTTGGGTTTGAAAATAAGAGCAGTCATGACCCAGTGTTTGTATTTCATTACAGAGTAGCACGTTGACGTAAGATATGTTACAGCCAAGCTGAAGATAAGCAAATTAACAGTGATTAGAGTGTTTTATTTTTTTAAAGATTCTTTTGTGGGGAGCATGATATTGTGGTATGAACGGTGGTCTGGGGCCTTGTCTGCACACAAACTTTTGCATGGTTTAATTAAACTGGTTTAGGTATAGTGGTGCAAAACCCTGTGTGGACACTCTTATTTCCATTTAGCGTAGCCCTGTTCCTTTTTGGCTTAAGCAAAACCAAAGTGAGCCACTCACAGAGGTTTGCACCTGTTGAACTAATTCAGTTTAAATTCAGATCGTTAGTTAAACCAGTGTAAATCACTGTGTAGACAAGTCCTGAGAGTTCTATTTCCAAGACTGCCACTAAGTTTCTGTGTGTCCTTGGGCCAGTCACTTCGACCCAGATCTTCAGAGGTATTGAGGCTCCCAGCTTCCATTGAAATCAGGGGAAGTTAGAGGCCTAAATACCTTTGAGGATCTTGGCCTTAACCTCTCTGTGCCCCTGCTGTGCTAGTTTCATCATAGATGAGGGGTTTGAGGTGCAGGACGGGGCTCCAGGTTTGGGGGGGCTCAGGGCTGGGGTGAGGGTTGGGGCTCGACGTTGGGGCACGGACTTACCTCCAGCTGCTCCCGGTCAGCGGCACAGCCTGGGGGGCTAAGGCAGGTTGCCTGCCTGTCCTGACACTGACACTGCCTGTCCTGACACATTGCGCATGCCCCAGCAGTGGCCAGCAGGTCCGATGCTAGTAGGCGGGGGGGCAAGACGCTCCCCTGCTGCTCTTGCCTGCCGCAGGCACCACATCCCAGCTCCCATTGGCTGGTTCCCAGCCAATGAGAGTTCGGAGCCAGTGCTCAGGGTGAGGGCAGCACGTGGAGCCCCCTGGTCCCCCCGCCTAGTAGCCGGACCTGCTGGCTGCTTCCGGGGCGCAGCGCGGTGCTCCAGGAAAGGTAGGAACTGGCCTGCCTTAGCACCGCAGCACTGCTGATCAGACCTTTAGCAGCCTGGTCGGTGGTGCTGACTGGAGCTGCCAGGGTCCCTTTTTGACTGGATGTTCTGGTCGAAAACCTGATACCTGTCACCCTAAGTGAGGCATCAGAATGAAAGTGACGTGAATTTGGCTCCAGCGGTCATGCATGAAGAATGCAGCATTCTGTAGCTCATTTTTCACTTCCCTCGGATGTGTCATTAATGTATCTAATGCTGCACCGTAAAGATGAATCTTCGGGATTAATTGAAAATGGCTTGTGAAATGGTTCAGGGCTAGGGCCGTGGAGACAGACAGAGCTGTCAGATATGTACTGCTCTCCTTCTGGTCTCAAAATTCTGCCTCTGAATGGCACACATCTCATTCCTGTGGGAAGGAGGATGGAATGAGGAGACACTTAATAGCCTGGCATTTTCTTTGATTGATGGTTCTGCCTGCCCTTGTATTGTCCACACAACCCCTATGTCACTCAAGAGAAAGTAATTAAAAGGGCCATATTCTGATCTTCTTTACATCAGTGTAAATCAAGAGTGACTCCACTGTAGTTAATGGAGCTACCCCAATGTAAAACTGGTGTGAGATCAGAATCAGGCTCATTTCCCTGCTATTAACTGATCATTACAATGACTTTTGTTCAAGGCAATTAGTAAAAGGCTTTCAGGTCAGTGAAATAATTTGAATGTAGAACAGTTTGGAACTGTCAGTGCGCAGCACTGTTGGGCCTATTCCTGCTCTGACTCTTATACATTCAGCTCCCACTGATGGCAACTAGGAGTTACACCCCTCTGTGCACTAGGCCCATTGCCTGCTGTTTCCTCCCAAGTGTGCTGTATTGCTTGCACTGTGCTGGAGGAATGTAGAATGAATACTGCCCTGCTAGGACCTCACAAACACAAGATGTTTGTGCTTCTTTTGACACTATCCCAGGGAGACAGATTTTAATTAATAATCAGATAAATTTATCTAAGAGTTTTGCAGTCAGGTTCCAAGGTAGAGAGCACAGGCTGATTAAGCTCTTGCTACTGCCCTCTGCAGGCTTGACTTTCTCTGCAGGTGGAGGAAAGCTGCCACACGGCAGAACTCAGGGGTGAACCCTAGACTGTCTTTGTGTTGTGCTGTAATGTGGTAGACGATAGGATTTGTGGGACAATATTTTTAGTGCTAAAATATTGTATATAATTAATTCTCTCTCTTTCTCTCTCTCTTTCATACAGGGCCACCCTGGCCAGCCAGGGCCCAGAGGTTTTCCTGGCCTTGATGGCTGCAATGGTTCTATTGGGAGTCCTGGTGTTTCCGGGTTGGATGGGTTTCCTGGTACACAAGGGCCACCTGTACGTTCTTAGGCTAACACAGTATTTTCTGGCGCTCTTGCTATTTACTAAATGACTCATGAATCCTTGGGGAACATGGATAGTGTTATTTGAAATCAACTCATGTTGTTTCTAGGTGAATTTTTTTTTAGATTCAGTGAATAAAAGAGTAACTTTAGAAGATAAAGTTCCTGAAGGTGGGTATGTTGCCACATTAGAATAAACCTTCAGTCCCTGACAATCCTCACGTGGACTTCAAGGTGAACAGGATCTAGCCCTTATGTGTTTAATTCTGCGAGGTGCTGAACGCCCCGAGGTCTCATTGACTGACTGTAGTAGGAATTGGAGGCACTTGCAGGATCAGCCAGAAGACGCCCAATTCAGAAAAGCATTTAAGTGTGTGCTTCAGTGCCATTGAGTCAATTGAATTGAATCGTGTGCTTAAAGTGAAGCATGCGCTTTAAGCACCCTTCCTGCATATGGGTACTTTCATGAACTGTGGTCTAACTCAGGAAATTGAGGTCTTAGGATACTTAGGAAAGATTACCAGCAATTTAACAAGCTGAATAATTGATTTACTAGCTGTAATGGTTGCTCTGGATACCTCTTGTTATGAGCAGCATAACATAGTTTTGTGCAGTATGTCACAAGATATGTCTAGCTGATGCCAACTCTCATCAGTCCCTTGCAAGACACCTTTTCATAATGTGTCAATGGTTGGCTAGATGGAAGGATTTCAAGTTAAGTCTCAAACTGTTTGACTAGTCTAATTCCACTTGACAGCCTAACAGTGACTATAGTCTTGACTTGCTCATTTCCATGGCACTGTTGGGAATCCATTAGTGCATTATGCAAGTCTGCATTAATCTATATTTGCTAAACAACATCAGCAAAAAAGACTAATGGTAAAATTTTCAAAAGCATCTAAGTCTCATTGAAAGTCAATGGGATTTAGGCTCCTTAATGTGTGAGTCACTTTTGAAAATGGGACTAAAGCTCCTAAATTACTTGGAAAAAAGAAAAGGAGTACTTGTGGCACCTTAGAGACTAACAGATTTATTTGAGCATAAGCTTTCGTGAGCTACAGCTCACTTCATCAGATACATTCAGTGGAAAATACAGTGGGGAGATTTATATACATAGAGAACATGAAACAATGGGTGTTACCATACACACTGTAACCAGAGTGATCACTTAGGGTGAGCTATTACCAGCAGGAGAGTGGGGGGGGAACCTCTCCTCACTGTATTTTCCACTGAATGCATCCGATGAAGTGAGCTGTAGCTCACGAAAGCTTATGCTCAAATAAATGTGTTAGTCTCTAAGGTGCCACATTCCTCCTGTTCTTTTTGCGAATATAGACTAACACGGCTGCTACTCTGAAACCTGTCATTAAATTACTTGGGCACTTTTTAAAATTTTACCCCAAGCCTTTAAATAAAGCATAAAGATATGCAATTATTTTCAACGTTGTACAGTACCCTAGACGTAGAATGGACTGGAAAAATGATCTTACAAACTTAACTCATATGAGTAATAGTTGGCAAATACGAGTGACACTATTAATGTCAATACACTGAATCTATATAAAAAATGTGGTACAAATGTATGCATGTGTCGAAACCAGAAGTTCACAGGACACTGAAAAACCCTAAGCAATATGATCAAGTTTAAGCGATGATTTCTAGAGAAGCCCATTTACTCATACATACTGTTCAAATTTCTTTTTTTGATAATCCTTGTAGGATTATATTTTTGGCCATAAGAGCTGGTTCTGCTCAGCTATCTTCCTTCAAATTAAATTGGCAATTAACATGAAATTACCTAAAATAAATCCGATAGGATGATTAAGATTAAGATCAGCTGGCTAAACCTAGAGCTATAAAATGAATTCATCCTGTATATAACTGCAGTTTCTTCAGTGGAGTTATCCCAGGATTCAGTTTGTCCCATAATGATTAATGTGTCTAAATTAAGTTTAATTCAGTGGTGATTGGTTCAACCCGTCACAGAACAGATACGTGTATGAACAGAGATGTTAATAATAGAGTTACATACTATCAAAGAATATGTTAAAAATACTGGGACTCAAGCCTTGTCTACACTAAAGGGGGGAGATCGATCTAAGTTACACAACTTCAGCTACGTGAATAATGTAGCTGAAGTCGATGTACTTAGATCTATTTATGGCAGGGTCCACACTACACTATGTTGACTGGAGACGCTCTCCCGTCGACTCCCCTTGCACTTCTTGTTCAGGTGGAGTACAGGAGTCGACGGGAGAGCGATCAGTGGTCAATTTAGTGGGTCAAGACCTGCTAAATCGACTGCCTATGCATCAGTTGCCGTGCGTCGAACCCCTGATAAATGTAGACAAGCTTTCAGTTGTCTGAATCCTCAAAATAAGAGAAAAATCTAAAGTAAGTGGGGAGAATACCAGATAAAATGTTTGTAGAGCTTCATTTAATTATAGCATGAAGATGCTTTGGTGTGAGAAGGTAAATATAAAGGGGTAGGTCCTCAGCTGGTATAAATTAGCATAGCTCCATAGAGGAGGGTCTGCCTCAGTGTATTTTGCTGAAAAAAAATTCAAATTTTTTTAATACAGATTATAGAAAAATAGCTTTGTAAATTCATTCTTTTAAAAACAGGGTCGCTTTGGTCCCAAGGGTCCCAAAGGAGAACCTGCATATGCCCAAGGTGGCCTTAAAGGAAGTAAGGTAAGAATTGTCAACATGCAGGAGAAGAAATAGCAGAAGAAACCTACATGCGCTCTGAATGCTACAGGGTCGATACTGTAGGTTAAATCACGCACAATGTTGGGCAAGGGTTCCATGGGTATGCTTGGATGCAGAGGCACAAATTATGGCTTATGAAAGCAGGCCGTAGCTTTATTTTTAACAACATAAACATTATTACACTGAAAACCTACAAGTACATAGTCCTTGCAACACAGATGCAAATTGTTCATCCGTCAGCAGGACTAATGTACACCCGCAGGACCATGCTCACCATGTCCGATTGTCCCCATATAGTTAGTAGACCATTGTTGTAGGGCACACCTAAGGATCTGGCACCTCTAATGCCAATTCCTGCACCTGCAGAAACCAACCATCCTCAAACTGAGAATGAGGGACCTCCTGCAGGCTTGTCCTGCCTTGTGTGAAGCAGTGGCAGGAGCTTCTAGGTGCAGGAATAACATGGAAGAGACCTTCTGTAGCAGCCACGACCCCTCTGTACATGGTCGCCTTCTCTCTCACATTAGATCTGTTGTGATAAAAAGCCAATGGTAGTCCTTGCCCTTAGAATTCCAGAGCGAAATCCTGTGGCAAAAATTCCTATTGACCTCAGTGGGGCCAGGATTTCACCCTGTCTCCATTAGTTAGGTAAAGCCACTGGATCATTTCTGAGTGCGACCAGCAAAATCTCTAGTGTATGTTAACATTACTCTTGCCGTTGGATTCCAAGCACTACCTGTTATCCCCATTGCTCTTTGACTGGGATGTACCAACTGGAAAGCTATTATATTCTTTAAACACATGAACATTATGGACTCGGTCCTGGCCCCAGTGAAGTCAGTGGGAGTTTTGCCACTGACTTTAGTTAGGTCAGGATTTCACCTTATGTGATTAATGAGGAACTGAGATGTTTTTATTCCTGAAGTAGAATTTATATATATATATATATATAAAATAAGAGTTTTGATTGCACAAGGAATGCAGGATCTGGCCTGAATCTACAAAGGGCTCAATACTTCCAGTGGGGTTCTGAACGGGTTGCATTAAAGCCATAGAGATTTGAAGGCATTCATTACCTTTCTGCATCCCGCCCTTGATATATCAAGTAAAGGAGAGAGAGTGTATGTGTGTGTACTTACGTACTCTGGTGCTACATAGGTACTCACTACTACTAAGTTATTAGAACTAGTCAAAGTGGAAAAAATTTTACAGAATTTTTTCTCCTTTTTTGGTCAAAGTTTTGAACTTTTCTGACCAGTTCTATCAATTATATACACTAACTTATTAATTTTTATTAAATAGATAATTATTCATGAACTTAGACGTTCATGGAAAATAATCACCATCTGAAATGTTAATAATAAAAGGTATGTTTAACAGTAAACAGCACTTTTAAAATTTTTTTTAAAAAAAATACAATATTGTACTGTTCACTGTACAGATTTGATTTTCTCAGTGTTGCCTTTGCTCAGACATATATGAATGCAGTTGCCATGGCTCATGGATTCTGGACTTCCTTCACTGTCTGATCCAAATACATATTATTTAAGTATAAATATTTTTTCTAATTACCTGATCTAATATTTACGTACCTAAAATATTCCTGTTTATACAAAATATAATGACCATAAATTATATTTTGTTATTATAATGTATTTTTCATGACTTTATTTTTTAATTTTTAGGGTGAAAATGGTCTTCCTGGATTGGATGGGATTTCTGTAAGCTAATTAATTTATTTTTGAAATTATGTTTTTATGAGTATTACTGTAAAGGAAAATAATACTATAGTTTTTTAGGTCAATTCCCTCACATTAACTGTTTGCATTAATCAGCTTAGGCACATTTCTACTCAGTGGTCCAAATTCTGATCTCAGTAAATCCAGAGTAATTCCACTGGCTTCAGTTACATTACTCCAGATTTGCACCATAGCAAAGGAGATTGGATTTTGGACATACCTGCAGTCAATTTTACATTTAAAGCCAAACACCCTTCTAATGCTAAACTCTGTAACAATGATTTTCCAGATAAACAAATGCTGATAATGTCAAATGAATTGTTATGTGTTTTAAATTAGATGCATTTTTCCAGGGACATTGTCTATGACTTTAAGACACACCCTGCCTTCAGCTTGTTAGGATTTCATTAGGAAAGGCCTGGTCGTTCTGTAGGTTTTTTCAATCTGCTCTTCCTTGCGATTCCCATTCCATCACTGAAGAACTGAAAGGGACACTGCCAAGTTGAATTTGGCCTTGAATTAATATTTTGTAAAAGCAAACTTTTATCAAACATAAGGCTAATGGAAATGGTTCCCTTATCTGTCACCATGCGCCGCCTCCTACAGTTTTTGGAGGGAAAGTTCCAAAATGGCAGAGCAGTGTCTTTTTAAGAGCCTAGTCTTGTGAAATGCTGAACATCCTCAGCTCCCAGGGAAGTAAGTGAATTTAAAGGTACTCAGCATCTCGTCGAAGGTACTTGCTATCTCACGTGACGGACAAAATTAATTTTTGCTTTTGGGGTGAGGGTATTTGCTTTGTTAATGAATAGAAGTCAGTGTTGTGTTCTGGTCTGTCTTCTTGTGTCTTAATATTTTCTCATGTATTAAATTAACTGGGATCAGGCATCAGTGAAGGGCAGATAAGAATGGTGGCAACTGGTTAAATGGGAGGGTGGGATCTGGAAGAGTTGAGTTCTTTAATACATTTCCTAAAACTTTTTATGATAGGGTGCAAAAGGTTTCCCTGGTCCAGCAGGTTCTGTGGGTCCTATAGGATTGCCAGGTTTGCAGGTAAGGAAACCTTCACCTTTGCATTCAGTGTTGTTAATAAAGTAGAGCTATACACAGGCATTTTTCCACCATTGTCCATTTTCATGTCCCTGAAATTGTTTGTTTTGATTACCTATGTGAAAATGGTGATTTGGCTACAAAAACCTGCATGGCTGTGGAACCGAAGTGAAAATCATTGCCTTTGAAAATGTAATAAAAACAGGAACGATTTCAAATTTGCAATAATAGGAAAGCTCCGTTCACTCTCTTCATCCAACTTGGTGAACCCATTCCAGTGCAGACTCACTGCATGGAACCTAATATTGGGAACGACATATGTAGTTGGCCTTGTAAGTACAAACTGGACAAGACAGCATGATGTAACACTCAAAATGGGAGGAGAGGAAGTTGGATCCACTGTAGAGCAAAACTGACCATGTTTATACAAGAAGGGATTGCAAATGCAGCAGCATCACTTTTAAATATAGAATATTTTTGAATTCAGAGTATATTGCGGGCACTAGAGTAAAACTTCTGCTCCTTGTATGGAGTATTGGTCACTAAGGTCCAATCCTGCAAACACATGCATGCTTGAATTTATTAATATGAGTAGTTCCTACTCATGGTAGCAAAAGTTTAAGCATTTGCAAGTTTGCATGTTCAGGCCTAAGTCCCCATGCAATAACCTGAAAAATCACCTTTGATAGAGATGCATTCAGGAGACCAAAAGACGGTTTCAGTTTGGCTCGTGTAAAAATGCAAAAACTGCAGAACACCTGTGTCATTTTTGTGAAATGATTTCAATTTGGGGCCATAGATGCTGGAACTAGGGATGCTGAGGGTGCTACTGCACCCCCTGGCTTGAAGTGGTTTCCATCATACACAGGGTTTATAGTTTGGTTCAATGGCTCACAGCACCCCCACTATACAAATTGTTCCAGCACCCCTTTTTGGAGCTGTAGTTTTCTTCAAATTGTTCGTTTTAATTTATCACAATGACAATATGCTTTCCTGGCCACTTAAAACCACTGAAGGTCAAGGCTCACTGATGTCAATGGGTCTTGGGTCATCCTCAACTGAGCAACTCTTCAAAATTATGTTAAACACCCAGACATTTTTACATAGTTTGCAGTCAAGTTTAAAGTTAAAATAAATAAAATCTTGATCTTGTTCATGTTTAGGGGCCACCGGGTGCAATGGGGCCACCAGGACCAAAAGTGAGTACCTTCCCTTCATGTCTGCTTTTCATACCTGAGTACTAAAGAGAGACATTCCAGATTTTTTGTGGGGAGTTTATTATTTTTTATCGTTTCTGTTTTCATCCATTTAAATGTAAATATTTTATACCCTTGGATGAAAGGTGCTAACCCAGGCCAGGATTTAGCAAAGTACTTGTGCATGTGATTAAGTCCCACTGAAGTCATATGCTTGAGCACTTCGCTGAATTGTGACCCTAAGTGCTAATTTGTCGTCGTCGTCTTCTTCTTCTTCCTTCTTTATTCATTAATTCTTACTGTTTTTTCTTCAGGGTAACATGGGATTAGGTTTCCAAGGAGAGAAAGGTGCAAAGGTAAGTGGAACGGATTCACTTCTGTAGAGAACTACAAAAGTAGTTATCCATAGTCCTACACGTGCCCACTAGAAATATCCCCTTCAGACATGAGTCCTCAGCTCTGGCATTGAGAAGCTCACTACGCATTGTTATTTGACCCTGTGTTGGTAGTGCTCAGAAGGGGGATAAACAAACAGGAGGTGATTTCCCAAGAAGAATTTCTTTTAGGACACTTACTACCATGGTCAAGAATTCAACCCAGAGATATTTAGAAGACAAAATGGAGTCTGAATAGGAGGAGAGCTAAGATTGCAAAGGGAATGGGGCTAGAGTTTGGGAGGCATTCCTCACAGCTGGAAAGGCAGTGGTGGATAGAGAGGAGAATGAGAGAAAATTCTTCAATGCCCTGATCCCACATGATGCTGAGCATCTCCTGCAAGGAAGGACTCCACTGAGAGATGATGGCCCTCAGTACCTGTCGGATCTTTATCCTTCATTCCATTCCATTCCATTTCTTAGGTAGCTCTCCTGTTAAATTAAACCCACTTAGCTTGGTGAATATAATGGGTTATATTCTGGACTGACATAAACTCTATACAGGCCCATTGTCCCCAGTGGGATTTACCTGGCATGCACACAAGTGCCAATCTAGACCTGCTAGAGCCTCGCAGGGTGAGATTTTTCAAAAGTGCCCAGCATTGGCCTGACTCTGCTCCCATTGTGGCTAGTGGTAAAATCCCTATTTACCTCAACGGGACCAGAGTCAGGCCAACACTAAGTGCTCTTGAAAATCCCACTCTGCCTGGTTGTTGGGAAGTGTGGGGAGTGATTACGTGATTGGAAATGCACTCCTGCACTTCTGGAAATGACTTCTCCTCGCATCATCTGCTTCATGATGTTTTGTGTTTGTTACATCCCAGTCTTTCTAGTTGCCTTGCCTTTCTGTATTTCATTTTCATCTCTTTTGTATCTGGCTTCAGGGTCTTTCCTGTGTATTTTTCTGTTTTTTCGATCACTGGCCTTTCTTTTTCTTTTTTACTTCACATTACTTTAATACAACGCATTTCGTTCTTGTTAATTTGCAGTCTGACCTTTTGCCTTTCATGGCTAAGCATCCACATCAGCTTTAGTACCTTATATTGTGCATGCAAGGCCTGAGTTGAGTGGCTTTCAGTGAATCATGGGTCATACACCTTAGATCTCAGCTGTTCTGCTTCCATTAATATCTTCCCCAATTGTCAACAGGGAGATGTCGGGCTACCTGGCCCTGCAGGTCCCCCACCATCCACTGGGATACTAGAGTTCATGGGATTTCCAAAAGGGAAACCAGGAGCAAAGGTTTGTAAACACAACTCTACTGGAAACAATGCTGAATTATTGCTTTTCTTGATGCTGAGTGAAGCAGTTAGACAATCCTGGGGCTATTCAAATCCTGCATGGATTGGTTCCTGATGGTGTTTGCAGACTGAACCCTGTGACTTGGTTTGTGAGAGGATAAGAAATGAACTAGTCCCTACAGATTCACTCGGAGGGTCAAAATAGGGCAGCGAGGGGGGGAACATTTCCCTCTTCTTCCCATACACGGGTTTTCTCTCTCACTTTAGCCATCTCCAACCCCAGCAAGCCTCGGGGATCCTGAAGAAAGATTCTTCAAACTGAAATAATTCTCTGTGTAAAGGAATACCTTTGCATCAGAATAAGCAACAGCCCATTTTCTAAACACTGCGCCTGATTTGTTGCTCATTAAAGTGAATGGAGATACTCCCAGTGACTTCAGTGGACATGGGTGCAGGCCCAGCTTTGGCAATATTTGTCGCATCTTTTTCAGTAATTGGCTACAGTTGCTCAGAGTTGAGACACCTGTTGTGGGAAACATACTATTTAATTTCTGTTCCCTTGGGAAAGGCAAACATTAGCAACTTGTCTTGCCCTCCTGTGATCGTTTTGGATTGTAAAACATGGGTTGTTTGCCTGGAGTAAAAATGAAATTTGGTGATTATATCTCAGGGGTTTTTTTGTTTTAAAGCCACCCATTACACAGTCCAAGCTAGCTGTGCTGTATGATTCTGCAGCTCTATGAATGGTTAACTGAGCTAGGATCTAGTTTTTTCAGGTGAAGAAGGACTGATCAATACTTTTCTGCACTACTTTTTAAACTGCCTTAAATCCTTTTGAACTGAAATCTCCGGATGCTTGGCTCAGTTCATTATGGTGGATGAGAGAATCCAAGTCCCCGAGAAAGAGGAGTCTTAAGCCTACCTAAGTTATAAAGCTAAAAAAGTGAATGCACAAAATAAAGAGCTGTCACTCATTTCTGCTGGATCTGTGAACTGTGAAACCACATTAGCCCTAGCAGAAAACCTAATCCTCTCAAAAAAAATAAATAAGGAAGAGTGAAGCTGTAGCTTTTTTGTTGTTGTTATGCCGCACGTTGGTCGAAAACAATCAGATTCATGTGCTTGATTCTCCTATCCCAGCCAATTATTGAGATATCTGTTTAGCTCATCGGTATTTCTACAAATATAATAAGGATCTGGGATAAATCCTGCAGTCCTTACTCCAGCTCAACTTCCAAGGACTGAGTGACGGCTGCAGTTTTTGGGCCCTGGATAGTCTCATTTGGGGCCTGAGTCTAATCTCAGTTCTAACTGTATGTTGGGAGAAACACCCTGTACTCGGTGTGAGTACACTGGTGTGAGCTCAGACCCAGGCCTTCCTGTTGGATTTCTCTGTCTCACTGTCTGTAGTGTGATGGTAAGTATAATTGTGAAGATGTGTGTTTGTAAGGCTTGATCCTGCCCAAGCTGATTACCTCCCAGGAGGTGCTGAACACACTCAACTGCTATCAACTTCCATGATAAATGAGGGTGCTGAGCACTTTGCAGCATTGGCCGTTTGGCTTCGAGTTTCCCTTCCAGCTATGGGCCTCCATCTTATGAAATCATTTGACTGAGGGTGCACTGGGTGACTGTAAAAGGTCCATCTCAATATGCACTTTCAGTGAGCGGGACAAGCCTCTTTTTTTCACCTCATCCCTTTTATGACTCACTCACAGTGTCTATCCTTTCCTTGTTGGCAGGGTGAGCCAGGCCCTAAAGGATTCCCCGGGATTGGAGGATTACCTGGCCCTCTGGTAAGGCTATTTTTTTAAAAATATTCAATGTTAATAGGCGCTGCGTGCCTCAGTGCATTTGAAAATCCCACTGGGTGCCGATTTCTAACTTTAGGCCCCTCCAAGCCTTTGAAAATCTGCTGTAAGGCCTGCGGGTTTTGTCCCTCAAGTGGAAATGTATCTGGGGGCTCTTTCTTACACAGATATTGAGACAGTGGTGCTGCTGTGCAACAGATATTACAGTCACTGAAATGCTTTAATTTTGTACACTTGATCTGCAATTTGCAGAGACGCTGAAGATAAAGTCATCACAATCCTTCACATGGCCACTAGATGGCACCATATCTTAACGTTCCTTTGCTGTTGCAATACACTAAAAACGCTAGAAAATTTGTACTTCAGGCAACTGTTATTCTAAACACAGTGGTTTTTATTAGGCTTCTTAGACACAGGGCTTAAATTCAGCTGGAGCCATCCGGAGTGGAGTTCTGGTAAATATTTTCAAACCCGTGGGCACCTCAGCACATCCCATGGGGCAGAAGCCCTGAGACCCCCTGCCCCACAGCTGTTGCTCAGAGTCCCGAATGGGGAAGGGTGTGGGAGGCTCCAGGAAATAGTCTCTGAGAATTTAAGCCCTGCTTGGACATACTCCATTCCTCTCGTTAAGGGAGAGTTTGTGTGTGTGTGTGTACCTCGAGTAGTCCTGTCTGAGTCAATGGGACTGCTCCTGTGTGTAAATTAAAGCATGTGGGAAAGTGTCTGCAGGATTGAAGCCTGAGAAGTTCTTAGCCATTGAAACTCTCACTGAAATCAAGGCTTGGCACATCCCTGGATTTGATCCCTATTGGTTTTTTTTTTCTTTTGGGGGGGGGAAGAGAAGAGAAGAGGAGTCCTTAAAGCTGTTTTCAAATGTTGAATGTGAAACTGCTGTGTCAGTTTCCTTTTACACTATAAACGGACAAATGGGCTCTCTGATTCCTGTACTGGACTGTTATGTGTCAAATTTCAACCAGCTTTTTACATCTAAGAAATAGATTTGAATCTACTTTTTAATGGTGAATGTGGTACCAAATTGCAATCAGAAGGTTCTGCTGTTATAGTTTATAGAGTTGACTTTTTTCTATTAAGAGAGGCAGTATAGTCCAATGCATAGTTTGCTAGATTGGGAGTTTGGAGACAAATTCAGTTCCCAATTTTGCCACTGATTTGTGTGATTTTGTGACCTTTAAATTCTCTATGCCTTAGTCTCCTTATCTGTAATTAGAGTTAATGATATTTACCCAGGTTCCTAAAGTGCGTTGAGATTCACAAAGTAGAAGTGCTGGGTAACTGTCAAGTAACATGTTACGATTCATTAAATTATTGTATTGCTGTAACTTCTGTTCGTGGAATTATTGATGCAGTATCACTGCAAACTTCTTCTCCTTGAGTGAGTCGGTGGGCAGCATTTAACATGGCACTCAGATGATTGCTAATGATCTTCTCCTGGCACAGGAATCAGGGAGTAGAAGATTCACCATGGACTCACAGTGCTTCCATTGTCCCTTTAAGGTTATACATAGAACTGGTCTGAAAAACTTCAACAGAACAATTCTCCATTGGAGAATGCAGTTTTGTCTAAAATGCTTCATGGAATTGTGTCGATTTACCTGAAATTCCATTTTGGGGGGGAGAGTTCTGACAATCTCAAAACATCCTGCTTCGACATTTAAAAAACAAAACATTTTGTTTTTTCCCTCTCTCTGTTTCAGAATGTATTTCTGTTGTTAAAAAAGTCAAAATATTGTGATTGATCCAAAATTAAGCAATTTTGCAGAAAATTTTGACATTTTTTAGGTTTTGTTCCTAAATGGAAAAATAATCAAATTTCAAGCTATCTAAATCCTCCTGTGACAGAGCTTTGGGCAACACTGCTGAGCCAGCCCTCTGGTCCCTGCAACTCTAATTAATTATTTCAGAGCAAACCTCATTAAGAAGAGCTAATTGACGGGCTGAAGAGAACTAAGAGACTAATTAGACCACGAGGCAGATCATACAAAAGGCACAGGAAGGAAGTAGGATGGGAGGAAGCAGAGAGTGGGGGAGAGTGATTATTCTTCCTTACTTGCCTCTGGAGCTGAGGGCTCCCTAGGTCAATAGGTGTAAGGCTGTCTAGTGTACAAAGGTTGCGGAAAACTATTGTAAATAAACTGCACAGTGTGTTTTACCAGAAAAAGGTCTCTGAGCTGTTTGTGGACTTGAGAAGAGGCAGGAGCGAGCAGGGCCATACTACATCTCCACAAAATGGAATTTCTGTTTTCCATCCAGGTCTAATTATAAGGGAAGGGGGCCCAGGTGGCATCAGGGTGACTCCTTGTCAACCAGGGTGCTTGCACATACTGCCAGCGGTCTGCGTGGAAGGGTTTTTTTTCTGGGGTTAGGAGGCCCAGTAGAATGTCAACCCAACCTTGCTTCTCTTGTGTATGTTTGTAGAGAGTTGATACACTCACCTCACCTTGGGGCCACATGGCATTTGTCTCCAGATAGATTTGGGAGTTAACATATGTGACTTTGGCTTTTTCCCACAGGGCTTTGGGGGTATCGGAGAAAAAGGAGAAAAGGGGATCCCTGGCTTACCAGGTGGCAGGGTAGGTAACTTTACTGTGGCCTTAAATCCCTGTTCTTGACAGGAGAGGTACAGACTGGAATTTTCAACTTGTTTGTAAAGTCTCTTTATTTGTATTATCATAGTGCCTGGGAGCCCTAGTCCTGGACCAGGCCCCCACTGTGCGAGGCACTGTGCAAACACAGAACAAAAAGATGGTACCTGCCCCAAAGAGCTTACAATCTAAGTGTCAGACACAAGACAACAGACGGGTACAGACAGATAAGTCAGGGGGTTCAAGGAAACAGTGAGACAATATTGATCAGTCTAATAGGCAGTGGTCACCAACAACCTGACTGTTGTCATGTTTTTCCACAAGTGTCACACAGCAAAGGAGAATTTTGAGGAGGGATTTGGAGGAGGAAGGTGAGGTAGGTCTTGTGAGTGTTACGAGGAGCACCTCCCAAACATGGGAGAAAGCACGAAGGTGCTTGTTTGAAAACATAACAGATGAACAATGGAGGCTGGTGACACAGGCTGATCAAAGACAAGAGTTGACATCTAGACAGCAAATGAGAGATGGTTGGTAGGGTGGGGATAGGCTATGAAGAGCCTTGGAAGTGACAAGTAGCTTATGCTAGATGCGGTAAAGAAGGGGGGCCAGTGGAGGGATGCAAAGAGAGGGATGGCGTGGCCCAGGTGACAGGCTGGTAAAATTACCTTTGCAGCAGCATTCCGAACGGACGTGAGCAGATACTGCTACGTGGCCATTCTTATTCTTTAGTCCCGCTTGTTTTCAACCCATTGCAAACCCCATTCCCCTACTTTGCATATCTGCTTATTTATACTTCCAAATGTACATTCTGCTTGACTCTTGAGAACGTGCTCAATCCTCACAAATTCCATCACCAGAGCTTTCATCCATGCTGTAGTCATCTGGGACTGTAACTACAGCAGTCTCCTCCTTGGCCTTACAAATGACAGACCTTTGAGATCAATTCACAAGCAGAAGAAAAGGGCAACTGATATTCACAATGAACAGCCCTGTGACCTCCAGTGCTGAGCACCTTCTGTGGGGTTTTGCATCCTCCATTTCAATGGAAGTTAGTAAGAGTTGAGGGGACTCTGCTGGCAGGATAAGGCCCTTTGGGTTCCTTTTCTCATCTGGTCAAGTTTTGGTGCCTTTACTCCATAGATGTGACCACAGCAGTAGCTCCAAACATAAGAAATGTCATGAGAAAGAAAAATCAACATGCCTCCTTTCTCTTTGATTTTAAATTTTAACAATCCCACATTCCTGTTTTCACCAATACCCATTGTTTTTCTTCTCCTAAGAACATAAGCACCAACACATTGTATATTTGTAGTCCCTCTCATACAGGACTCTTTACTCGCTAGCCTTCTTTTGTGCAGGCATTGATATTTGAACCCATAGGTTTTTTGCACCTGCAGTTTAGGTCACTTGGATTTGCACCCTGCCATGGATTTAAAAACTGGCTAACTGATAGGTCTCAAAATCTAATCTCCGCATATCAGTCTGTTGGAGATGTCGTTAGCCCCCCGGCCAAGGCACAAACTTAACTCTTCTGGGGTAGCAAGAGTCCAAACTAATAAGTTCCAACAAACAAAAGGTTCTTCTGCCTTTTGGGGCTTCTGTTTAGCCTGCTCTCTGGGCCCTGTTCCCAGCACCTTTCTGGACTACCTTTAAGAGTCTTTCAGACTCTGGTATAAAGCACTTGGCCCCCAGGCTGATTCCCCTGGTGTACCATTCGCGGACCCTGACTCAGAGCCTTCCACAAGAGCCTGTCCTTTCTCCATGGTTCCTCTCCACATGGCTCTCCTTATTCCCACTCTCTCAGGCTGGGAAGCAGCTAATTAATTATGGCACAGGTGTGGTTGGCTTTCTCGCCCCTTAAAGGGGCCAATTACCTGTGACCGTGTCCCTTAGTCTGAGAAGTGCTGTTGGTTTGAGAATATATATCTCAAACATGGTACCTGCCAAGAGGACCTGCCCACTTCCTGTCAGGTGACAGTCACACAGCCATCCTTCAGACTGCCATGAACAGCCTGCAGAGATGTGCTTTTCACATACAACATGAAGACCAAAAGGATTCTTCTGCTTTTTGTCCTTCAAAAGTTTGAAATTATTTTTCAAGATAAAAATGATCCATCTATTAGTTTTATAATGTGAAACTCGACACCAAGGGTTCAGTAAGTTGAGAAACCAGGACTGATTTTGTTTATAAGCACTTCAACTGTGCTAAATATGACAATGGTTACACAAGATGAGACAGCTTTTGGCCTTTATACGATTGAATTCTTCTAGAAATGGCTTTTGATACTCAAGTTATTTAGGGTGAAATCCTGACCCTATTAAAGCCCAATGGTGGTTTTCCATTAACTTCAGTGGGGCCAGGCTTTCACCTTTAGATGTTAAGTTCTTAGGAGCAGGATTCACATATTTGTGTGTGTTCATAAAGTACCTAGCATATTGTGACCTAAACCTGATTGTGACTTTTGAGTATGAAAGAAAGATAATGGTTAAATAACACGTATTTTTCTGTTTTAGGGATTTCTGGGATTGGATGGATCTGATGGGTTTCCAGGGAGAAAGGTACCAGGCTTGTTTAATTTTGGAAATACTTTTAACGTCTCAAGAAGTCATCTGAGCGCCTAGGGTCTTCTCCTATTATCCCATCCCCTGTCCTCCTTAATGGGCTCCACATCAATGTCCCTTTCTGGGACATTGAGAGTTGGCCAGAAGAATGTCTAAAAAGCAATGTAAGATTTTCTCTCCCTAACCATTTTCCCCACCAGAGGCTTAGAAAGTAACCACCACAGAGATTTGAAACTGTACACTCCCTCCCAGTGTAACCAACTCTCTCACTTTTCTTCTGTCAGGGCCATCAGTTACAGAGTGTCCTGCACCCTGGTGCAAATGGTCAGTGCATTAACTATCTGAAAGGATGTGAAGGCCCTGGCACCCTCAGTTGTACCAGTGCAATGTGGTCACAGAACAGCTATCATAGCCATTTTTCACCAGCTTATATGCAGGCATTGAACACTAAGATGTTGGCAGGTCCTTGGGGGCACGGAGGGTTAGGTTGGATCCTCACTGCTTTCTTGTCTAGTCCTGTTTTCACGGTTACTGTATGTGAGAGTATTTCCCAGTGTACTTTAAAGTGAATGGTCATGAGACAGAAATGAGTCTTGAGAAGCAGGATTCTGAACCATGCTGTTTATGAGCTGGTCTGTGGCTATCCAGGAATTCAGGATCACAGGCTGGGATAGAACCCAACAGACTTTTCTCTATGAGAATTCCCTTTAAATGCCGCCACAGCTTGGCTTATGACCTACATTGGAGCAGGATTTGATAGTCATTCCAGTAGAGGGCAGCAGGGAATTTTGGTGGCTCTGTATCAGCAGCAGACTCCTCTGAACCATACACAGTCTTACCACACACTACTGGGAAATGGGTAGTCAGTGAGATAAGACTTTAAACTTACCTGGTTTAGTGCAAGTGACTTGGGGGAGAAGAGGAGGCAGGAGAGAGAAATTACATACTGGGCACGGTTTGCCGAATGTCCTCTCCCTCACCAATGGTCACAGAAATTCTGTCAGAGCCCTGAGGATGACATCCTGATTTTCCCTACTTCCCTACATTCCACCCCATCACCGCCCCCACCCTTCTAGCTGAGTAGGCCAAGAAAAGTGTCTTTTTGGAACTATGTTTCTCAGTAAGAGGAGAGACATTGAGACAGTACCACTGCAAACTTTTTCTTCCCACGGGCCATTCTTACTACTCCTGTAGACCACCTGCAGGACGGGATACTGGGATTAAGATTCAAACACAGGTATTGGAGAGAACTAAAACGAGTCCTCCATGGGCCCTCCCTTCTTGTTTCATAAGCTAATGTTGTTGTGTTTGTTTTACAGGGTCAGTTTGGTCTCCCTGGTTTTCCTGGGCTGGATGGAGTGCAAGGAATGAAGGTAACTTCTCCAATGGGAGCATTAAAGCACTGCTCCTATTACAGAATTTGTCATTACTCCAGTCAAATCTCTTTCTTTCTTCTGTATCATTGTGATGTTTTCTTTAATGTCACTTCTCCATCTGTTTCATTGTCAGGGTACTAAATTGGTGGTTATGGTTTTCTGGTGAACCCTCATATTTTAATTGCCTTATCTGAGTTGTCCTGATAATACTATGTTTTGTGTGTGATAGCTGTATGCTTCCTAGCTGGAGAGAAATGGAAGTACAATCCCTTCCATATCCTTCAGTCTACCCCAGAGAATCTTCGCTATGGAAGGAGTAGAGATACTGGTCTACTCTCAGAGCACTATTGCTGGAAGAGACAACAAAACAACATTTCATCAGCAGGCACCATCAGGGCATTGGTGATGAGATGCAGGGTGACATTGCCAACTCTTGATTATTTGAGTTGGGTGAAGTCACGTATGGCTGGAGGCTGGCATGCCACACAAAGCTCAAGTTACTAAACTTCAGGGCTAAAGGGCCTGTAGATAATGACGGGTATGGGTGACTGAGACCCGCATGTATTAACAACCACTCACCTGGTCTTTTGCCAAGGGGTTGTACAGAACAGGGTGAGCAGGGATGTGAACCTGACATTGGTCCATATGTTGGCTTGATAAATGATGTTTTGTGAACACGGTACAAGGCTGCCAGTGCTCTCTCCGGAGCTAGCAAAATGCGGGCTGGTAAGGGATAAAAGCACCTTTCTGTGGACAGCCATTAGTTTCATCATACAAGTGGTGTATAGGTCATGCATGCAGAGATCATTAGGAAGAACAGAAGAGCAAAGGGAATAATTCATTAAAACAAGGAATTCTTGTTACATCAGGGAACTACTATTAACTTCGCCACTAAAGCAGATCCTTGCATAGTAACAGGCACTCTTTCTTCCCTGCTTTCTGGTCTTTAAAGAACTTGAAAACAATATGAATCTGTTTAAATTTACAGGGTGAATTAGGTGAAATGGGTCCTCCAGGCCCTCTTATTTCTCTCGATAGAGAAGACGGACTCGTCTCAGGTAACTCCTTAGATTTTGTTTTGCAAAGTAATTTTAAATGCACCTATTTTAATCCAAGTTATGTGCTTCTTATTCTTTTATGTTAATACACATTTTCTGATTCACTCACCAGCACTGTTCAGTGGGCCAAATTCATCCCTGTTGTAATTACATTGACTTAGTGATACATTTGCATATATCTGCAACTCTCCCAACTGAATGCAATGCTATGTGAATACAGGCGGAGTGATATGTTTAGAACATCAGTGATTGACTGTGTTAGCATGGTCCTGTGTATCTGGAGCTCAGAAAAATATATACCAAGCCTAGGGCTTATTTCAGTGTAGCAATGCTATTAAGAGAAAACTCCCCCTTTTCCCTCTTGCAAATAAATAAGTTGAATGCCTCTTTAGTATTCCAACTCACTTGCTGTTGCTAGATGTTATTGAAGAGAATAGTGTAGTAAATTCCAGGGCTGAATTAGGCATGGGGGAGAACAACATCTGCAGCTCCATTGGTGAGGGCAGAAATAACACAGGCTAGCTTCTGTATATAGTGGTTTGGGGCATAAGATGATCACTACCTGGGGACAGGGAGAAATTTCTGCCTGTGTTATTGTATTGGATGAATAGGTACATTAAAAAGGGGCCTGCACCTTTTACTAGCACAGAGCAATGGCCAATGTGGGAGACAGGGGAGCGGACTACATGTACTCTTTCTGCAGGGTCATTTTTAAATTTTTCTCCTTTTAATATTTTTGTCCAATAGGTTTGCCAGGAGATCCCGGGATTCCAGGGACTCCAGGCCCTCGAGGAGATGAAGGGATTGTTGGTTTACCAGGCCTTCCTGGCACCCGAGGTCTCTCAGCTCTTGTTCGAGGTAAAACATTTGCTAATATGAGTTCAGAGTAAGATGTTAGCATGCTGTTTGTCCACATGTTTGTAGCTGCCTTTGCTTATGTATCGACACAATGAATTGATCAGCTGTTGAATCGCTTATTAACGGAGGTGCTGAAATCCCCACTTCAGGCATTGCAGCATGCATAACTTCACTTAAGCAGCCTTGGTGATACACTCTGCCAAGCGCAATAGCTAGAACATTGTAACCTGTGTGAGGAACAGTATTTTATATGAAAACAATTTAATTCAGAGATAGAGACAGATAACCTGGGAGAACCAATATCTAGCCTTTTTGTCATTTGCCATGCAAGACACACAGGGTTTGATTTGATACCCTCTGAAGTCATTGACATTGACTTAAGCAGGAGCAGGATCAAGCCCATAGCAATTAGGGCATATCTTAGTGCATTTGCTGTGAATATGCAACACAGCTGTGTTCGTGGCCTTTCTGTGTTTGTGAGTTCCCTAGCGAATGAATTTGCTGGCAATTTTGTTCACAGAAATGGAGAACTCTAAATAAATACTAGAAAATCTATTAAAAATGACTTCTGAGTGTAAATACTCACCCTGGCAACCGAAGCTAAGAGATGGATGAGCTAATCATGGTACCAAAACAATCTGGTGTGTCCAGTCAAAAGTAATCAATATAACCTGAATTTCACACATTGAACACTTGCCCTCAAATGATCTACAGATTGAGAATTATTTGTCAAATTATTTTGCTCCATGGACAATTTGCAAATAGGAAAAAAAGTCTGTATTTGTCAAATTATCCACTATACATTATTCACTCAGTAACAGTAATATAGCTTTTATATTGTGCTTCACATTTTCAGAATATATCATTAGCTTGCTTAATTATTTATGCTCACTAACCAAAGTGACTTAACTGAGGCTCTGCACTAATGCAGTATTTTCGCTGGCCTAGGCAGCTGCCTTTTATAATAGTAAAAAAAAAGTGTGACTCTCAAAGATGGCTATTATTAATAGTCTTCCCTTTATGTGCAATGATAAGACTTCCTGCATGAACATAATATCAGCCCAATGTGCAATGGTAATCTTCATAAAATGAAAAATATCTGGATCCACATGCTGCTGGAGAGTTGGCTAACTACATAGTATATGCCTGTGTTCTCTTTAGGGGCACCAGGTCTCATGGGATTTCCAGGTATTCCAGGTATTACTGGTGAACCAGGAGACCAAGGGAGAGCAACAATTGGATTACCAGGCACTCCAGGCATAGGTGGTTTACCGGGTATGCCAGGACCTCCAGGACTGCCTGGCCCATCACGTATGTAAACTTCTTAGACCTGCTTTTGTACAGGATTGAAATATAAACAGACCTAATAATATTTTGGGGTGCTCTCTCTCTCTCTCTCTCTCTCTCTCTCTATATATATATATATGTATATTTTTTACCACTGAAAAATATGCATCTGTCTATATTAAGTACTTATATGGCCCCTCATGAGCACTATATGTGAGTGCTCACAATCTATAATGTATTTATCCTCATAACACCCTGGGAGGTAGGGAAGTGCTCTTATGCCCATTTTACAGGTGAGGAACTGAGACAGAGAGAGACTAAGTAACTTGCCCATGGTCACGCTGGAAATCTGTGCCAGAGCGAGAAGTTGAATCTGGGATTCCCAAATCCTAGGCTAGCGCCCTAATCACTGGCCCAAGAAACAGAAGAAATGGGGTATCAAACCTGGGGCCTCATACATGCAAGGCATGTGCTCTAGCACTAAGCTACATGCCTCAGTTACATGAGGAGCACATACTCTAGCATTGATCTACGTTCCCCATGTACAGTAAAACACCAGCTCTGTCTACTCAGTTTGGATTATTTCATTCTAATCAGACTAACCAGGATGGGCAGGGATGGTGTCCCTAGCCTTTGTTTGCCAGAAGCTGGGAATGGGCAACAGGGGATGGATCACTTGATGATTACCTGTTCTGTTCATTCCCTATGGGGCACCTGGCATTGGCCACTGTCAGAAGACAGGATACTGGGCTAGATGAACCTTTGATCTGACCCAGTAGGGCCGTTCTTATATTCTTATGTTTTTATATAGTGATCTTGCATTCTAGAGCACTGCCTTGTATGCTGGGTAAGGAATTTGGTGTTTTGTGCTGATGACCTGTCTTCCTCTGGATAAAGCTGAATTTTCAGGATATGAGGCTGACTTGAATAATCCAGCCAATGAAAATGTGATGGGTATTATGTGTCCCTCAGTCTGTTGACATGGTATTGTCAGACAGTATTAAGTCAATGGGGAAGGCACAACCACTCCGTTATCAATAATTGACTCAGTTGAATATGTAGAATTAGGCCCTTTTACTGCTGCTAAAAAGTTCATACCTTTTTACAGCAGTTTTGTTTTATTTGTTTGAATGGATGATTAGGAAGGTGTGTGCTGTTCAGTACAGGCAGTACCTCAGACCTAATGGGGTCTTTTAAAATGGCTTTACTGGATCTACTTAAAGCCAGGCCTGCCAATCACTTAATGTCAGACGAGGCTGAATTTTGTTCTAAAACAGAGGCGGGCAAACTACGGCCCACGGGCCACATCCGGCTCTCCAAATGTTTTAATCTGGGCCTCGAGCTCCCGCCGGGAAGTGGGGACTGGGACTTCCCCCGCTCTGGCACTCCAGCTGGGGAGCGGGGTCGGGGTCTTGCCCCACTCCGCATGGCTTCCAGAAGCAGTGGCACATCCCTCCTCCGGCTCCTACGCGTAGGGGCAGCCAGGGGGCTCCGCACACTGCCCCCACCCCAAGTGCTGCCCTCGCAGCTCCCATTGGCCAGGAACCACAGCCAATGGGAGTTGCAGGGGGCGGCGCCTGCAGACAGGGCAGCGGGCAGAGTCATCTGACCGCGCCTCTGCGTAGGAACTGGAGGGAGAACATGCTGCTGTTTCTGGGAACTGCTTGAGGTAAGCGCCGCCCGGAGTCTGTCCCCTTACCCGCTCCCCTGCCCCAACCCCATGCCCCAGCCCTGATCCCCCTCCCGCCCTCCAAACCCCTCGATCCCAGCCCGGAGCATCCTCCTGCACCCCAACCCCCTCATCCCCAGTCTCTCCCCAGAGCCTGCACCCCCTCCCGCACCCCAACCCCCAATTTTGAGAGCCTTCATGGCCTGCCATACAATTTCCATACCCAGACATGGCCCTCGGACCAAAAGTTTGTCCACCCCTGTTCTAAAACCAAGTTTGTGTGGAAAGGATTTTAACCGTAGTATTTTCAAATCAATTTTCCCCTCTGTTTTCACTTTAACCCAAGTTCCACTCTCTTCTCCTACATGCAGATCAATGTAGGGAATAATCCTGCTGTGATGGAGAGGAAGTAGGGGGGAGGGAGCAGATCGTTTTCATCTCTAACTTCAGTAAGCCAATTTGCCTTCCAGTCTCTTAGTTATTTTAAAATAAAATCCTGGTCCCAGCACACTGGCAAAGTAACTGGGAGAGAGGCTGGGGAGCTCTGCAGGGGACAGGCAGCTGGGGTGGGGTGGAGAATGCAGTCCTTCACACCGGCAGCAGAGCCATTGTTCAAACACTAGATAACCCTGATAGCTCCTGTTCCCGTAGGCCTCAAGAGTGCAATGGCAGTGGAAGTGCATAGTCACAGATCCATTGATTTGCCCCCCTTTCAACTGCTCTCCCCTCCTCCTTAAAAACCCTGTGCATTGGGGTGCAGGAAGTTCCCATAAAGTATGGCTTCGCAGGGCACACAGTATACAGCCCTCTCTGTAGGGTCCCAGCATCCTGCCTTCTCGGTACAGTGAAACCTCAGGAGTTCTACAACATCAGGTCCCAATGTGGAAATGGAGGCTGGGGGAGGCAAGGTTTGACCTGAATAATTTTCACTCTTCTCCAGAATCTCTCAGTTTCACCTTGGTTTGGTCTTGTGCCGGTTGTTTAGTTTTTGAAATAAGAAGCGTACCTGGCAGACCAAGAGAAAAGGAAAACCCCAGAGTATTAATACTGTGGGCTTCTTCTGTTGGTCTCTGTGGTACCCTACCAAGCCAAAGCAAACTTAACATGGACCACATTACGGTACTGGGCCACATTCTGTTCTTCATGGAACTGAAATCAGTGCAGTCGCATCCACTTATACCAGGACTCAGTATGGCTCCAGGCCATCTGCCCAAAGTAGCTGTTGTTGTGGCTGGCTAATGGAGCTGAATGAAATGTAGACTTCCCGTGCCTTTGCTGATATCCTTTCCTCCCTGTGTTTCTATCTGAAGAAATCCTCAATGGAGAACCTGGGGAACCAGGAAGACCTGGACAACGGGGGCCACCAGGAGTTTTGGGACTAAAAGGGACCAAAGGTGAAATTTACCTTACCTTTCCTACCTTGCCGCTTGCATCATCATTGAAACGTGCGCAAAGTAGTGTGAAATGCAACCCAGCCAGAATGGCTTTACACTCACTTCGCTCATTTTGTACTCACCGATGACACCAAGTGCAAAACAGTGTGCGGAGTTCAGGCAATGGAGGTCCAATTATCTGTTTCCACAGTGCTGACAAAGACTCTCTTTCACTCTGTTTTCCAGGGGATCCAGGTGATTGTGCTTGTGATGGAGGAGTCACAGGAGCTGGACCAAAAGGTGCACCAGGCCCTCTGGGTCCACCAGGTAGTCCTGGTGAACCTGGGTTTAAGGGTTCTAGTGGAGATCCTGGCAGTGTGGGTGCACAAGGGCCGCGAGGGCCTCCGGTAAGTCAGGATAGGATTTCTTCAGTCTCTGCCGGTTAAATGAAAAAGCCTTGTTCTCGAGCCTTTGGCCAAAATTGTCTAAATTGAAACCTGAAGGATTTTTTTTTTAAACGATTGTTTCTGCTTGTTTGGGTAAAAAGGCAAAAAACAATTTGTAGGAATAAGGTAAAAGCCCAGAAATGTCATCAATGCAAGGTGTTTGAGAGAGAAGGTGGGTGAGGTAATCTCTTTTATGAACCACCTCCTGTTGGTCAGAGCTCTCTATGTAAGCTCAAAAGCTGGTCTCTCTGCCACCTGAAAGTGGGCCAGTAAAAGAGATTACCTCCCTCACTGTGTCTCTCTTTTGTCCTGAGACCAGCATGCCTACAACACCACCGCATGAACCAATGCAAGGTAGTGATTCTGAGAACTCATTTGTCAGAGCAGAGACCTTTTGTCACCATAGGGCTAAACAGCTCTAGTCAAGTGGGAAGTAATGAGTATTGGGTTATGGGCTCTCTCTGGGCCAGAGGTTGGTATGGAAATGAGAAATGCATTTGGATGAAGAAAAGATAGAGAGTAAAATGGTGATCTCTTTACATGTTGGTGGCAGTAACAGTAAGTGGGCCTCTCTGATGCAGTTCTTCCCTAGCTGCTGCTGTAATGCCATTTTTAAGTTGAGCTTTTATTTAAAAAAAAAGAAGAGTGAGATTTTCAAAATGCTGAGCGTAGGCCATCTGTGAGGACTTTTGAAAATCCCCCTCTAAATGTTTCAGAATAGTCGTGTCAGCTTCAGTGAGCTCTATGCATTTGTTGTTAATTTATTATGTAAATATTTTATCTGTCATTAATTTTTTTCCTGCTCTTGAAGACTTCTGTGGAGTGAAGGCCTTTCCATGCATGTTCATATATCTCTTTTTTTTCTTTCTGCCTGCAGGCTTCACCTGGTCAACCAGGTTCTCCAGGCCGTAAGGGAGAAAAAGGAGATCCATCTTTTGCAAGAGGCAGAGGTCTCCGGGGGGATCCTGGTGCAACAGGAGCCAGAGGGCCTTCTGGCATCCCAGGAACTCCTGGCAGAGATGGATTCCCAGGTTTACCAGGCCAGCCAGGTCCTCCGGTGAGTTTATACTTATGCAACAAAAATAAGAGTGCTTCAAAATTGTAATTGTAAGAAGGAACAATGATAGTAAAATGGCTGAATCGTTAGTCGCGATTAGACCTGCTTTAAGTGTCCAGAGATCTAAAGCTGTGCCTTGTATTCATAAGCTGACACTCTGTGGATAGACTCTTATTTCACGTCATCCTAACAAGACAGAAATTTCATAGTTTCATGACGTTTAAGGCCAGAAGGGACCATTAGATCATCTAGACTGATCTCCTGTGTAAATTTTACTTGGATACCCCTATATTGAATCCTGTGATTTTAGTTAGACTAAAATATTTCAGTCCTAAGGAAACTAAACTGTTGTGTGCCACAGGCAGAGGACAAGAGAGACCCAAGTACCGAGGCCCCTCCAATGGCAGGGAATTAATTAGACGGATAAATGATGGTGGCAAGCACTGCTTATATATGTATAAAGGAAAGTGCAATTCACAAATCCTGGGCTTGGTTTCCCACAGCAGCAGAATCTTCTCTAACCCTTCAACCACACTGGCATGATGCCACAGCATCATTTGTGACCATCAGCATCGCACAGGCTAACAACATTCCATCAAGCTGGTGGTGTTTTGAACAAGTCAAAGCAATTAGAATTAAGGGCCCTCACACACTTCTTACTCAGAGGGTGACAAATCTAGAGCGAGAGTAATGTGCTATAAGAATTCCAGTGCTTCGTCTGGCCCAGGGTTTGGGTAAACTGCCCCAAAATCCTGACAGCTCTTGGTTGCCTTTACGAGTTAAAAGACAAAGATTTCTGTGCTCTCTTCTAAGGACTTGTCTTTGCTACAGTTTGCAATCCTCTTTTAACACATGGTAACTAATATGACCTATCATAAACTATAGCGGAGAGAAGGAACAGAAATGCATTTAATAATAGTCCTCTTCAATCGGCCAGTTAAGGGTTGTGTACACTACAGACTGCAATAATGTTTTCACACGTCAGCTAACACAACAGTAAGCTCTAGGGCACATGAGCTCTAAGTTGACTTATTAAGTCAATTTCTTAGTCTTCAAAATCTTTCAGGCACTGCTCCCATGGGAGAATGAGTGGAGCCAGAGAGTTAAGATTGCAAAGCAGGAGTCATATACGAGTTGGAATTTGAAGTGCCCAGCTGGATGATTACTGTAATATTTACACTTAGTGCAGCTGAGCAGTGTTAAGCAGGACACTTTGTTAAGGAAAATCTATTCCAAAGGCTCTTGCCGTCTGAACAGGAATTTCTCTCTCCTTCAAGATTAATAATAGCCCCTCAACACATCTCTGATTACACAATCATAAGATAGATAAATAGGTAAGGATAGATAGATAGATAGGTAAAGTCTGAGAGAGAGATAGAATTCTCAAGCGACAGGCACTACTTTCGTTTTAAGATTTGTTCTTTTTAAAAACAAAAGATACTTAAAATATCTACCAAATTTTAAGAGTCGAATACTAAAACAGAAAAAGCTGACCGTGAACATTTTAAGCAGAAAGATACAGGCAAACATGTAATATTTATATTTTGGCAAATATAATGTATTATGCAGTGGTTTAAGTAGAGTTTCCTGCATTTGAAAAGATTGTGAGCATTAAATTGAAAAGATTTCCATATACTTTATCCATAGAATCATAGAATATCAGGGTTGGAAGGGACCTCAGGAGGTCATCTAGTCCAATCCCTTGCTCAAAGCAGGACCGATCTCCAATTAAATCATCCCAGCCAGGGCTTTGTCAAGCCTGACCTTAAAAACTTCTAAGGAAGGAGATTCCACCACCTCCCTAGGTAACGCATTCCAGTGTTTCACCACCCTCCTAGTGAAAAAGTTTTTCCTAATATCCAACCTAAATCTCCCCCACTGCAACTTGAGACCATTACTCCTTGTTCTGTCATCTGCTACCACTGAGAACAGTCTAGAGCCATCCTCTTTGGAACCCCCTTTCCGGTAGTTGAAAATAGCTATCAAATCCCCCCTCATTCTTCTCTTCTGCAGACTAAACATCCCCAGTTCCCTCAGCCTCTCCTCATAACTCATGTGTTCCAGTCCCCTAATCATTTTTGTTGCCCTCTGCTGGACTCTTTCCAGTTTTTTCACATCCTTCTTGTAGTGTGGGGCCCAAAACTGGACACAGTACTCCAGATGAGGCCTCACCAGTGTCGAATAGAGGGGAACGACCACGTCCCTCGATCTGCTGGCAATGCCCCACTTATACATCCCAAAATGCCATTGGCCTTCTTGGCAACAAGGGCACACTGTTGACTCATATCCAGCGTCTCGTCCACTGTAACCCCTAGGTCCTTTTCTGCAGAACTGCTGCCGAGCCATTCGGTCCCTAGTCTGTATCCGTGCATTGGATTCTTCCGTCCTAAGTGCAGGACTCTGCACTTGTCCTTGTTGAACCTCATCAGATTTCTTTTGGCCCAATCCTCCAATTTGTCTAGGTCCCTCTGTATCCTATCCCTACCCTCCAGCGTATCTACCTCTCCTCCCAGTTTAGTGTCATCTGCAAATTTGCTGAGAGTGCAATCCACGCCATCCTCCAGATCGTTTGTGAAAATATTGAACAAAACCAGCCCCAGGACCGACCCTTGGGGCACTCCACTTGATACCGGCTGCCAACTAGACATGGAGCCATTGATCACTACCCGTTGAGCCCAACAATCTAGCCAACTTTCTACCCACCTTATAGTCCAATCCACCCACATAATCCAACACATTTGAAACTTGCTGCTAAGAATTTAGGCTGGAGCCTTCTCCACTAGCATCACAGTGTCCAATAGAATCACTTAGAGCAGCACAAAACCCAACAACATTTTGGTACACTTGTCAAAACTGTGGCAATGTGCAATTGTTCCAGGTTCTCTTGGTTCTCAGCTGTAACTGTCTTTGCTATATGTAGGGTGATGGTGGACTAGGCTTTCCAGGCGAAAAAGGCCTGCCGGGATTACCTGGCTCCAAGGGCCGGCGTGGGGAGAGCGGTCTTCCTGGCATTGGTTTCCCAGGTCCTAGTGGAGTTCGCGGCCCTCCAGGTGACCCAGGAATGGATGGTTTTCCAGGACAACCAGGTCTTCCAGGTCCTCCAGGTAGGCTTGTTAGGGACTACTGTCATTTTGAAAAGCTGCAATGCCCCTAAAAACCAGCCAACCAAAGAAATATTCCACTTCATAATGGGATCCTAGTATTTTCAAAGCAGTAAACTAGATGTCTATTTTTAAATTATTTGTGGATAGTCTATAGGCAGGTCAGACCTGATCCTGCAGTCCTCACTCACCCACATAATCCTGCTGAAATCAATGAGATTACTTACAAGAGTGTGGACTACTCATGCCAGTAAGGGGTGCAGGATGGGGCTACTGACAATAGCTAATTTTATAGCTAGTAGCAAACCTAAGGTGATTTTCTGCTAGGGAAGTGGTTAAGATGAAAAAGCTTTAGATAAAGAAAGGCATAAAAATTAGAGCTACATATAATAAAATATGTGCAAGACTCAGTGACTGGGATCTTTTCATGGTGACCAAACACCGGGATTAGCTTTGACTGATTTCACTAGGTCCTGCCTATATTTAGCTGGTGGTACGCTACTAATGAGCGTGTTGCAAGTTCCACTCTGTGCCAATTTACAGAAGATATGAGTTGCTAGACCCTGGCTACAGAGCTCTTCAGCTCAAGCTGAAGAAGTTGATGCTTTTAGCTCTGGCAGTTCCCTGGTTCAGTCCCTGCTGAGTCAGCCAAAATAGCAGACATGACATGTGCAGCTTGAGAACGGTTGCAGGGCAGATGTAGTATTCGTTTGATAGAGTTGATATGACCATACAGAGCTAGGTACACTTAATGACAAGTGAAGAATCCAGTAAATCTGGGCTTTATAGGTGATATTTCAGATATGCTAGAGTCTGGAAAATGGTTTCACCACCAAACTATTGCACATAAATATTCCCTATGTCTAGATTTTAGAGCTGGCATATTAAGGGGATTTTAACAAAAGCAATATCTTTCCTTTTCCGCTGCTGCTTTTTATTGTGTTTTCCACCTTGTTCGTGTATATTTAACTTTCTGTATTTGTAATGCTTGCACTATTAGTAATACAACTAAATATATTCACAGACATAATATTTTCCCCAAAACCCTAGTCACTGCTCAAATGACATTGAACTGAATTCAGTTATTCTTCTGACTCTCAGGATGAAACCAGACATGTCTACAATGTACACAAAGGAAAATGTCTGTGAGCATGTTTGGCCTATTGGTTAAAAAAAGTTGCTTTCGATCGTGTGGGTTTTCTGACATGGTTTAACCTGTGCTCCTTTGCTTGGCTGGTATAGGTGACTGCTGCTGCGGTGAGAAGGTTGGTAAAGGAGTCTTAGACACAGAGGGAGGTGAGAGCTAGGCCTTAGTGGTTGCAAGAATAGCAATGGGAAGAGTCCCCATTCTTCAAATCATTGCACAGACACCCAGAATGGCATGTTACAAAGCACCAGTGTTGCATTTGGTTGTTGTAATGGGCTGATTTATAATGGCCAACACTGGCATCCCATTGGAACTTTCTACATATGCCTTTTCCTGACTCATGTCATGTGCTAAATGCTAAAAGCTCTGCTAACCTATAGTATGTATATATAGGTTGCTTATTAAAACATCTCTTACAAGGGCTGCTAAATCCAGATTGCATCATCAGATAACTAGAGGGAATATGCTTCATGCACTGACATTCACAGTCTCATGAATACTGGGTATCAAATAGGATGCATCATAAGTCAACACATTATGTGAGTGTTACATCAAAGCCTCGCTAACAATGAATGGCTTTTTTTGTAGAAGAGCATCTATAATCAGAGAACGTGAATGAGTGTGAATAAGTCATTAGCCAGCTCAATTTACACCTGCACAGATATTTGTGAGAAAACTGTGAGAAAACCATCTCTCTAATACTTGGAAATCATTGCATTTCTTAAAAAACACTTTTGATGTATTAAGCTTCATCTAACATTAAAGAAATCTGCTTGGTCAGAAGAAATAATTGCTGTTTACACTGCACTTATTGGAAGGTTTTATGATGAAGACCAGAGAACATTTTAAAGAAAGACATTGACCTACTGAAATTATCTTGCCAAAGGCAACATCAAGGAATTTTGCCTAAGACCACACAAAATGCAGTTACAGTAGATCAGATTAAAATTCTCATTTAAAAAATAAATGCTGTATTAGGACCTATTCATGCAAACCTTCTTGCATGTGCTGAATTCCTACTCAAGTGAGTAGTCACACTGATTTTCCTTGAGTTGCCTTCAGCTGATATCTGTGACCAGTGGATAGAGTGTTAGAACAATACTTCTGCACAGTTAGCGAGCACTATTATGAAATTGCTCAGAAGTGCTATTGGATTACCCATTTTGTGCCATTGTTGCAATTCCCAGCAGCCTCTCGCTATGTTTTCACAATTGACTTGTTCCCCTGGCCTTTGGAGGCCATTGTCTGTATTGTAAGAACATAGGACATTAAGTAGCTGGTGGGCAGTAAGTCTTGGTTACTTCATTGTGCTACAAGACCCCAGGAATATGTGAAAACCATTTCTTTAGCGTATTACCATTGCCCTTCAATTGCTCCACAAATACAATTCCCATTGTGCTTCCACTCTAGTGCTGGCTAGTTACATAAAGTATTGAATAGTGTCATTTTCTGGACATTCACCTAAGCAGGCTCTTAAAAAAATGTGTTTGAATATAAAAATGTTAATTAAACTGCCCTCTCTAAGCTGGTTGATGGATTGGACATCCCCTTTTTGAAAAATGGCATTCTACACAATGCTGTGATTGTGGAGGGATTATCGGAGATGGATTTTAAAACATTCAGTGTCAGGCTCAGGAATGCAGAATGCCAGGATCTGAGCAAAGAAATCACATCTTTAAATGTTGCTACCCTCTGAACAGTTAAAGTAATCTCCTATAAATGTACCTATAGGTAGGCAGCAAACTGAACGTTAACATTCTGAAAGCTAAGAACTTGTGTCTCACATCTCTCTACCTCTGAACATAAATTAGACTGGTGAATGTTTTATTGTATTTATCTATTTTAATGCTCCTTGCTTTAAGTCTAAAATGCAGGATTTAAAGCTGAGCTGTGGTACCATCTAGAAAGAGCAGTGGTTGGTTTTAAGACAGAATTAGTATGCAAGTGTTGTTGCAAAGTTTTGTATGTGTGTTATTCAGGGGGTTAGTCACTTAGAAATTCATTCTGTTATCAACTAATGCCCCTCATCAAGGTAAAAGTAATGAACTTGAACACTGACCTTTGGTCTTCCAGTATAAAAGCAGAACATCTCCTGTTGTTTCTTCTAGTACTTGCACAGCAGTGTCAAAACACAAGTACATTAGAGCCCTAGGGGGTTTTCTTCCCCACCTCCACACACCCCTTCCCCTTTCCCCCTCCTCCCCCCCACCCCGGCTCCTGCACCTTCAGCTTCATATCTCATTAGCTGAGGTTAAGGCTGCCAGCAGCCCTGATTAACTAGAATTTGTGATTTGGGTCATTTCTCTCCTCTCCCCCGCTAGCCCCATCTTGTGATCACATGAGTCAGAATCACAAAATCATTGAATTTGGAGTTGGGGGCAGAATCTAGAGGTGGGGAGTGGAAAAGGGTTACCCAGTCTGGAACTCTCATGAGATAAGCTGCTCTCACAAGACCTTTGCCAGTTTTACTGGAATCTCTTGAGAACAGCCCACAAGGTTTTGATGCCATTGATTGAATCCTAACCCTAGCTCTGATTCAGCTTCAAAACTTAAATGGAATCCATACACCACCTTCTTAGCCCATCAATAAAAAAGACCTCTTATGTCATTTGATCTTTCATTTGGCCATTGCCTCATCCCCCATGGGTTCCCTATTCCTGCTGTTGATTAAAATCAGAAAAAGTGAGCCATATTGATTATCTCTGGTATAACTCTATTGTCTTCATTGGATTGACACCAGGAATGATTTTATCTCAGTGTCTTTTATTGCTAAAACTGAGAAGCCATCTGAGAATTGCCATTATTTGAAAGTGTCATTTACAAAATGAAGTCTTAAGCTCACACTATCCCACTGTCAGTAAAAGATCTAGACTTACTTTTCCTGGTCCACTCATTACGTCTGACAGCAGCAGAAATGCTGCCGAGATTGGAGTGCCTTGCCTGGTGATGCAGCCCATGTGTTGGGCTGGAATATCAGGTTGGGAGTGGGAATTGGGTGGCAAACTCTTGCAGAATTAGTTGTAAAAAACAAGAAGCAGCTAATCCACAATTGCTGATTGGTTAATCACTGAACCTGCAGAAAAAATTGCACCAGATTTTAATGGCCCAGTATTAGTAATCAGTGGAGTAACTAGCTATTTAACTTTTTGTATAGAAAGACTCCAAAAGGGGAGGGGCAGGAATAAAGTCCCCCTTCCTCCCCCTCAAAAATATGGTCTTAACCTAACTCTAAGGATCAGTTCTGATGTGACATTAATTCAGATAAAATATATATTTTTAATCCTTTAGGATTTTGTTTTTAGGAGGTTAATTTATTCTAGGAGTTTTTAGGCCAAGCCTGCTCTAATAGTGTAGGCCCTAACCCTGCAGTCCTTTTACTTAACCAAATGCCTATTGAAGAAAGTGGGATCTATTTCTTAATATAAAGGGGTCGCAGGATTGGACTCCCTAGTTAGTAATGTCAGCAGTCATGTGTTTTCAGCACTACTGTATCCATGGTGCAAAAAGAAAAGGAGTACTTGTGGCACCTTAGAGACTAACCAATTTATTTGAGCATGAGCTTTCGTGAGCTACAGCTCACTTCATCAGAAACCTGTATCCATGGTGTGTCAAATTGCCAGAGTCTGACAAAGGTGAACACTGCAGACGTAAGAGATTTATCAAATAAATTTGATAGTCTGATGGCTCTGATAATGCCACTCAGACCTCATCCCACTGATAAGTTAGATACTTTCGTTTCTCATAGAAGGAACACAATGAGCTGTACAACCACTGATTCCTATTTGCTGCTCGTACACTAACAACTAAGCCGTGTGGTTACTTTTCAGACTGATGGACTATAGAAGAATCGGTAGGAGAAAAAGCAGAATTAAAAACAAATACACTCGTGCACACACAAAACTCTAGTGTAAACCTGTGGAAGGACCCAGCAGAAAGCACAAACATGGGGACAGTCAAGAAGGGCCAAGATTTTTAAAAATGAGTGCCTAAATTTTGCTTCCTACATTGATTTTTGTCATTGAATAAATTACTTGAGTTTTCAAAAGTTCTGGGCACCCACTAGCTCCCCCAGTGTAAGCTGACTCAGTACTTAGACTGTACACTCCTTGGGGCTGGGACTGTCTTTTCAATCTGTTTTTACAGTGCTAAGCACAGTGCAGCCCTGATCCTTGACTGGGGCTCTTGAGTGTTACCATAATACAAATAATAAATAGCAGTTCTTATGTTCTTGTTTTCAGTTCTCATCACCATTTTATAGGTGGGGACACAAACCCGGTCACACAGTGAGTCACAGTCAGGGCTGGGATTAGAAAATAAATTGAACTCGCAGTCTTGTGCTCTAGCCACTAGCCCACACTTCCTCTCTTTAGTTTAACGTCAGTCAACTTAGAACATCAACAACGTTAGCCATAACCGTCCCACAAGGCATTAGATTTTGTTACCCTGTGGCAGATGTGAATGTGCATTACATGTAGTGATTTGCAGTGCATAGGTTCATTCATCATTGCACCTAATTTAGTCTGGACATTCAATGTTCTCATCATAACCAGCTAACTACAAGGGAGCCAGGTGCAGTTTCAGCGTATTTCTTTTTCTAGGGATCACCTTGCCCTGTGTAGTTCCTGGAGGGTTTGGTGCCCCTGGGCCTCCAGGCATACCAGGACGTCCAGGTATGGAGATTGACTTTTAAATACTCTATGTAATACACTGGCTTATCGTTTGTTATGAGTCTCCCTCCAGTGAGGAGATATCCTGCTGCTTAATCACAGTTAAATAATAGTTACTCCTGTAGCTCAGGTGGGTGGGGCTTGTGTTTGCTTCCTGGAAGTGCTGGGTTTGATTCCTACTGACAGTTGTGCTGTCTATATATATATGTGTGCAGCTCCTATTCAGAATTGTGGAAGTCATTGTTAATGAGGGGTGTAGAGAACTTTTGCCCTTCCATGCAGCTCCTCCAGACAAAACACTTGTCCCTCTGTGTTTATTCAGTTGATGAGATGAACACAGTCTTGGGGCGGCATTGACTAGTTTAAATTAGTACGGTAGTTGGGCGTTTTGTGGTTAGCTTTGCATGAAATATCTAATCCCACCTCACAAGAATATGCTTGTGTCTCCCATCCTGAATTGAATTTTTTTAATCCTCAGGTCCCAAGGGCAGACCGGGGTTTCCAGGCATTCCAGGTCAACCTGGATTACGTGGATCAAAAGGACAACCAGGTATTCCAGGATCAATGGCATTGCCAGGAGCACCGGGTAAGAAAGGAGTTAGTTATGGAACTTTAGATTGTCTGTTTAATGTACCATATTTTATCAGTGGGGCTCTCAAACTCTTTACCCGTCCTCTTCTATTCATGAGCACCCAGACCGCTCCCCATCCTAGTGATAATCGTTGTTATTTTAGAGCCATTGCTACATGGGAAAATAATATTGGGGAAGTATTGAATGTGTTTTTAGCTGCCTTTCATATTTTATGAGGAGAGATTAATAAGACTGGGGCTTTTCAGTTTGGAAAAGAGATGACGCGGGGGGAGATATGACGGAGGTCTATAAAATCATGACTGGCGTGGAGAAAGTAAATAAGGAAGTGTTCTTTACTCCTTCTCATAACACAAGAACTAGGGTCACCAAATGAAATTAATAGGCAGCAGGTTTAAAACAAACAAAAGGAAGTGTTTCTTCACACAATGCACAGTCAACCTGTGGAACTCTTTGCCAGAGGATGTTGTGAAGGCCAAGACTATAACAGGGTTCAAAAAAGAACTAGATAAATTCATGGAGGATAGGTCCATCAATGGCTATTAGCCAGGATGGGCAGGGATGGTGTCCCTAGCCTCTGTTTGCCAGAAGCTGGGAATGGGTGACGGGGTGGATCACTTGATGATTACCTGTTCTGTTCATTCCCTCTGAAGTACCTGGCATTGGCCACTGTCGGAAGACATGATACTGGGCTAGATGGACCTTTGGTCTGACCAAGTATTGCTGTTCTTATGTTCTTAATGTGATGTAGCAGCTACGACTAAGGAGGAGAGCCAGCAACCATGTGACCATTGAGCCCAAGTGTTCTATGGGATACAGTTTGGAAACCACTGATTTTTAGTGTAAAATGGGTGTGGCATCTGCATGGCTACCCCAGTCACTTAGTGGTGTGGCTATGGGTGTGATAATCAGCATATAACATTTGAAACGCTTTTTACGTTCTGTGATTTTTGTGATGTTTGTAGTCAAACATACAGAGTAATATGCCATGCAGAACAGCAGAAAAAGGAGGGAGGATTTTTAAAGTGTGTTTTCCTTCTGTCTGTTTTTCCCTGAGGACACCTGGCCTAAATGAGGAAATCATTGCAGAGGCATTGCTGACCTTAATTCCCTCTAAGTTGCGCGGCCGCACACTGCGTATTAAACCCCATGCAGGGGCTCAGGGCTGCAATGGGGAGAGATGCCTCTTCCCCAGCATGGACCTGCCGTGCTAGGGAGAGGTGCCTCTCCCCGCCGGCCCCAGCATGGACCTGCCGTGCTAGGGAGAGGTGCCTCTCCCCGCCGGCCCCAGCATGGACCTGCCGTGCTAGGGAGAGGTGCCTCTCCCCGCCGGCCCCAGCATGGACCTGCTGTGGTAGGGAGAGATGCTTCTCCCCGCCGGCCCCAGCACGGATTTGCCGTGGCCGGGGGAGAGGCACCTTTCCTCCCCCCAGCCCAGGTGCTGCTGCAGGGAGAGAGATCTGGGGGAAGTCCTCTTTCCCCTCCATAACCCTGGGCAGCCTGCACCCCAAACCACTCATCCTTGGCCCCACCCCAGAGCCCGCACCACCCCTTGCACTCCAATCCTCTGCCCCATCCTTGAGTCCCCCTCCCACATTCTGAACCCCTCGATTCCACCCCCAGCACATGAATTTTGTTATGTGCACCAATACCATGATATTGGTGCACATAACAAAATTAATTCCATACATGGGTGGGAAAAATTAGAGTGAACACTGTTGCTGACATGAAAATGCTCAGTTGTTTTGTCCTTGCAGCAGTTTAGCAACACTCTTGATGGTGTCCTTTCAGCACTTCCGCACACCATGCTTTCCAACCTTTGTTGTACCAGTGTGTTCTAGGACTCCTGAATCATCTACCCCATTGTGCCAAATGCTCTCCTTGGGAACACGAGGGCTTTTGGGTGATAGCCACACATGAGGCACTAGGATAGAGTGTAGGATAGAGTGAGATGGACTTGGTGAACAAGTGCAGCTGCAACATTTGTGACTTGCCCTTACTAGTGAGACACAGTTTACAGACTCTGATGGTTGTAGTCAGACTGTAAGTAATGTCTTTGTTGTAGGAAATACATCCATCTGGTAAAACCAGTACTTGTAAAGCAGTAGAGATCGCTAGTGTGTGTGCATTTATAACTTCAAAATGCTCTAAAATCTTCATTTCGTTTAAGATGAAAAGAACTTGTTTAGAAAACCAAAGGTCTTCCATTTAGTTTCCCTTCTTTTTGTCCTTTTCCACCCCTTTATTAAACATTCAAAACCAAAAAATATTTCTGTTTTCAAAACTAATTTTTTCTGTATGAAACAAAAAAGTGCATTTGTTAGACATTTTAATTCATATGGATATTGTTTCCCTCCTGCTGTGTATTTTCTGCTGTGTATTATTCGCTGGATTTTTCTTTAAGGCTTTCCTGGGCCTCGTGGAGATCAGGGACCACAAGGGCTTCCAGGACTTGATGGAACAGATGGTTTCCCTGGAAAGATGGGAACTCCTGGCTTGTCAGGGGCAAAAGGAGCTCCTGGTGAAGTGTTTGGTGCTGAAAGAGGAGCCCTGGGTGAGCGTGGCAGACTTGGATTCCCAGGAGATAAAGGACTTGTTGGAGAACCTGGATTTCCTGGACAGAAGGGTGAGCACCCTTGCTGCTGGTTTTCTGGAATCTGGAGCTGTTTATCTTTCAGAAAAAATGTTACTTTCTAGTATCTTTTTGAGGCCAGTTCATCAGTTCCTCTGAGCTGTTTGTAGTTCCATATTTACTAAGTTTCCCTGAGCATCTAGTGTAATTCTGAGATGATTTATACAAGTTTTAAAAGCAGGTAACTTTATTCTCACCTGTGAAGTAACATCCCACCTCTCACTCTCAGGTGTTAATGGAAGGCCTGGCTTACCGGGTTTTAAAGGTGAACGGGGTAATCCAGGGCTCCCAGGTATTGATGGATTGCGAGGACCTCCTGGTCCTGGAGGTCCGTTTGGCATTAAAGGAGAACCAGGTCCCAGGGGAGCAGTTGGCTTCTCAGGATCACCAGGTATGTAGTGTCTCCAATGAGGCTGAGTGGCTTAACCAAACACCAGGATGTTAAATAAGATTTAGAATAGATTTGCTGTTTGCTAGGAGTTAACCTGAGGTTGCTACCCGGTGGGGCTGGATGTGTGTATCTGATCACAGAATTTGGGCCTCGGGCTCCTCGCAGCCAGAAATGATGTTATTGTGCTATAAGCCACCAGAGGAGAAGATAGAATGAAGTATCTTAAAAATACCAGTTTTTAAATTACTTTATTATTGCATATTTGCTGGATGAATGATGAATCTCAATGTTCATGCTTTAATTTCAAATACATAACAAATTGTTAGAAAAGTGACCCTTGTCAGAGGGCAAAATCCTATTAACTGGATGGGCTGAAAATTGCTGGGCTTCTTGGCACAACTATACGTATCTTCTTCATCCCCTGAGATAGTGGAAGACCATCTTGATTCCCCCTCCCTTCATGGGCCCAAGGGACTCTGAGTAGAATAGTGGCTTTTGAGTTGCGCTACACAGGGTCTTTCCTGGTAGCACAATATGCAACATTATGACAATCAAGCAAAGGAGAGACCAGATGTTTAGTAGAACATAATGGTCTGTGAGAACATCTGTCTCTTACACAGTGGTTTGCAGAACGACAAAGCTGGAGAACTATTTGAGGAGAGAAATAAACTAAAGTTATACCCCAAATAAAAAAAAAGTAACAGGACCAAAAAAATGCCACAATAGCAAACAGAGTAAAAGAAGGTGATTAGAGGCAAAAAAATCCTTTAAAAATTAAAAGTCAAATTTTACTAAGGAAAATAGAAAAGAGTATAAACTCTGGTAAGTCAAATGTAAAAGTATAATTAGACAGTCCAGAGAAGACTTGGAAGAGCAAATAGCAAAAGACACGAAAACTAACAGGAAATGTTTTTTAAGTATATCAGAAGCAGGAAGCCTGCCAAACAATCAGGAGACAATCAAGGTGCTAAAGGAGCATGTAAGAAAGAGAAGGCTGTTGCAGAGAAGCTATATGAATTCTTTTGCATAGGTCTTCACTGCAGAGGATGTGGGGGAAATCCTCACACCTGAGCCATTCTTTTTAGTTGAAAGATCTGAAGAACTGTATCAGAGTGAGGCATCAGTAGAGGTGGTTTTGGAAAAATTGATCAGTTTAACTGTAATAGGTCACCAGGATCAGATGGTATTTACCCAAGAGTTCTGAAGGAACTCAAATATGAAATTGCAGAACTACTAACTGTGGTACGTAACCTATCGTGTAAATTAGACTCTGTACCAGATGACTAGAGGATAGCTAATGAAATGCCTGTTTTTAAAAAAGTCTCCGTAGGTGACCCAGGCAATTACAGGCCATTAAGCCTAACTTCAGTACCAGACAAATTGATTAAAACTATAGTAAAGAACAGAATTACCAAACACACAGATGAACACAATATGTTGAGGAAGAGTGAACACGACTTTTGTAAAGGGAAATCATGCCTTACCAATGTATTAGAATTTTTTGAGGGTGTCAGAGAGCATGAGAACAAGGGGGATCCAGTGGATATAGTATTCTTGATCTTCCCCAAAACCTTTGGCAGGGTCCCTCACCAAAGGCTCTTAAGAAAAGTAAGCAGTCATGGGATAAGAGGGAAGTTCCTTTCACATATCAGTAACTGGTTAAAAGATAGGAAACAAAGGCTAGGGATAAATTTATCAGTTTTCACAGTGAAAAGTGGTAAGTAGCGGGATCCCTAAGGATCTGTGCTGGGACCTGTGCTGTATAATATATGCATAAATGATCTGGAAAAGGGGTAAACAGTAAGGTGTCAAAATTTGCAGATGATACAAAATTGATCAAGATAGTTAAGTGCAAATCTGACTACGAAGAGGTACAAAGGGTGACTGGGCATCAAAATGGCACATGAAATTCAGTGTTGTTAAGTGCAAAGTAATGGATAATGGAAAATGTAATCCCAACTATACGTACAAAATGGCAGGTTTCAGAGTAGCAGCCGTGTTAGTCTGTATCCGCAAAAAGAACAGGAGTACAAAATGGTGGGATCTAAATTAGCTGCTACCACTCAAGTCATAGTGGAGAGTTCTCTGAAAATAACTGCTGTGTGTTCAGTGTCAGTCAAAAAAACTAACAGAATGTTAGGAACCATTAGGAAAGATGATAAAACAGAAAATATAATAATGCCACTATATAAATCAATGGTATCCCCACACCTGGAATCCTGTGTGCAGTTTAGGTTGCCCCATCTCAAAAATAGTATATTAGAATTGGAAAAAGTGCAGAGGGCAACAAAAAGGATTAGGGGCATGGAACAGCTTCCAAATGAGTAGAGATTAAAAAGACTGGAACTGTTAATTTTAGAAAAGAGACTACCAAAGGCAGGTTATGATAGAGATCTATGAAAGCGTGCCTGGTGTGGAGAAAGTGAATATTTACCCTTTCACATAACACAAGAACTAGGGGTCACGCAAAGAAATAGGCAGCAGGTTTAAAACAAAAGGACGTACTTCTTCACACAACACACAGTCAGCCTCTGTAACTCGTTGCCAGGGGAAGATGTGAAGGCCAAAAGTATAACTGGCTTTAAAAAAGAATTAGATCTGTTCATGGAGGATAGGTCTGAAGCATCTGACAACTGGCCACTGTCAGAAGACAGGATACTGGGCTAGATGGACCCTTGGTCTGACCTAGTATGCCCATTCTTGTGTTCTTAAACACTAATCTCAGAGTTGCCTCTGAGATTAGCATTATAAAGTGGACACCAAAAAGTATTGTTTTTTAAGTTGGGGGAGGCTTTTTCTTCTGTATAGTTTTATATTCTTGGTAGTTTGCATGACGACTCCCCTGCCTTTAATTAATATTTTAAACCCACTAATTGGTGGATGATAAACTTTAAGTGACTAAGGTTTTGCTGCAGTATTCTTTCTGAGTCATTAATTTCTTTAGTGCCCTTGTGCTTTCTGTTCACGTATTTCTATTTTTCCTTCACCATTTTTCTATTCCGTTTACCATCAACTCTCCATTTTTGATGTCACACTGTTTGGTTATGTGTTCTTCACATAGGCTGTCAAGGTGAGAAAATCCACTGTAGCATAAAAGGTCATGAACTAACTACCTAGCTTTTAAAATGCTACAAGAATTGCTTTGACTATAGGTTGCACCCCTTATTTTAACCGTACCAGAGAGCAAAGAATCATTGCACCGAGTATGCTCAGATGGTAACAAAGAACAAAGGCCATGGGGAAAAGTCTTTAATATTCTTAGACTTCAAGCACACGTTGTCTTTCTCTTCTTTAATTAAGCAGATATTGCATTTTATGTTTAAAAAAACAGGTTGTAGCTTTAAATGCTAAAATCCAGGGTTCTGCAAAGCTCACCCATCTGATATTTCCGCTTTATGTGCCGTTTCTCAGAAGCTATCTGATTTTTTTTCTTTTTAACGCTGTAGCTGAGCATTCCCTTTTTCAGTGGTTTAGGCCTTTACCTTGTTTGTTTTTTTCTGAAATAAATGTTTTCCAAGGTGCAGCCAGAAACATTCTGACATATGCAGAGACTGAATTGTGCACAAATGTTTCAACAACGTTAATCCTGGAGATGCTTTTATCGTAACACATTCAGCAGCCTATTCCTTTAACTACTAACTGATCTAACTTTTAAGAAGTAGCACCTTAATAGCAGAATGAACAGGCCACTCTTCAGTTGACCCCTTTGGTTGACCCAGGTGATGTGGAAGTTAGCATTATTGATGCTCCTTATTCCATGCTCTGGTTTTCTGCCTTGAAGTTAAAAGGTGAGACCTGCTGCTGCTCTGCACTTTAATGGCTGACAAAGTGGGGGAGGAGAATAATTCAAAAAGTCTCCCTGTTACTGGTTTTGAAGTGACGTAGGCAGGTCTCTGATTGCTGGATGACTAATGTTTTTGCCTATCTAAACACTCTGCCTGCTAGAAGGCTGCATGTGCCATCATTTTGAGGTCCAGCTCTCACATTAAAAGCAATGCTACATTTAAAGAACGTGCAGAACAGTTCACCAAACTGTCCAGAAGCTTATATGACAAAAGCTATTGAGTTTGCTTGTATTGATTCAGGACTTCCTGGAGTCAAAGGACCAACTGGTGATGCAGGTCCACCAGGCCCTGCTGGTATGAAAGGCTTCCCAGGTCTAGAAGGTTTTCCAGGACCACCTGGGGACAGAGGATTCCCAGGGTCACCTGGGCCTTTGGGTAAAGATGGACGTCCAGGTTTCTTTGGAGCAAAAGGTAAGTGTATAAATTAGGAAATGGTCATATGGGGCTGGATTCAGATGCACAGCTAAAGTAACACAAATGATGATTTTAGACCCGACTTGTTGGGAGAGATGGAAAGTTACAGGGAACCTGTGTTCAGATGCATTCATTTCACTGCTAGATTGCTGATGTGACTGCAGATTGGGTTAGTAATTAAAAGCTGCATTGGACCCTGCCAAAGGATATATCGGTTCAGTTTCAAGGGTCCACCACACAGAAACCACTATCCAAGTTGGGGTCATTGTTAGCAAAGGGCATCTATAATAGCATTTAATATTCACATTGAAGAAGTTAACCCTTCTGAAGTGATTTTTTACTTAATGTGTAAAGTATACTGAGGTAAGTTGATACAACAGAAATATCAGAAATAGATAATGGAGAAATGATTTCAGGAATACCAATGTGTTGCATGTTGTATCACCATTTGTCTTCAAAGATAAAAATTATTTAAGGTGCCAGTCACCCAGTACTTTTTTTTAATCTGATCACAGCCTAATGGGAGAGTGGCACGTTCTTGACTGTCTCTGTCATTCTCTCTGGGGAGACAGGTGACCCCTTGGTGGGGAAGACAGAGCTACATTGGGGGTGGATGTGGTGAGATTTTCCCTCACTCAGTAGGAAGCAGTGTCTTAGGTGAGCAGTCAGACATTGTAATTCCACATGGGAGCCCCAGATCTGGCCAAGAGATGATCCTGAGTCCATATGGATAGAATCAGAAAAGTCAGTGTGGGATTGTGAGTGGGGGAAATTATAGGTGGTGAGAGAACGAAGAGTTTGGGAAACGTCGTACGGAAGAGAAAACGAAGCACAAACTGGCAGGGAAGTAAAACTTAAAACAGCCATTTAGAGTCGACACTGCTATAGGTTCTTCTTCGAGTGATTGCTCATGTCTATTCCACAATAGGTGTGCGTGCTCGCCACGTTCACTGGTGTCGGAAGTTTTTCCCCTAGCAGTACCCGTAGGGGGGGAGCGCCCCCCGCAGCCCCTGGAGTGGCGCCTGCCTGGCACGGTATAAGGGGAGCTGCACTCTCCCCCCACCCTCAGTTCCTTCTTGCCACCAGTGAAGGTGCGACGGAACTGCTCTGTTCCAGCTTTGCCGTAGCTCGATCCCCAGTTCTGTTCGTTTGTTCAGTGTTAGTATCTGTAGTTAGTTCGCTGGTTAGTCAGTCAACGAGCCCGGGCCGGGACATGCCCTGCGCCCTGGGGTTTAAGTCGTGTGGCTCTTGTAGGTGTTCTATGCCGAGAAATGACCCGCACGCAGACTGTTTGCGCTGTTTGGGAGAAACCCGTGTCAGCGAAAGGTGCAAGATTTGCAAGTCGTTTAAGCCTCGGACCAAAAGAGAAAGGGACATTAGGCTCCAGGCCATCCTGATGGCATTGGCGCTGACCCCGACTCCGGCACGCTGCTCCAAACCGGTATCCGGCACCACGGCATCGGTATGTGGCGACCCTCCAGTTTCATCAACCATTCGGCACCGCTCCCCATTCATGGGGCATGCCAAGAGGGCCAGGAAGACTCCTTCTTCTCAGCGGCACCGAGGAAAATCTGGGACAGAGGCTAGACCCATGTCCAGCAGTTCTCGCTCCCCACCGGGCCCCAGGCCTCTGACTCATGTTGAGTGGAGTAGCCTGGCCCCTTCGGAACAGGCCTCTTCGGGTGTCTGGATGCCTTCCACACCTGAAGCCCTCCAGGCGGCCTGGGATGTTATGTCCATGCCGGTGCCAGGAGCGCCGCCAATGTCCGCCCCACACTCCAGAGGCAAGCCACTGCTGGGATCTCCGCAGTCACCTCCGGCTCGGTCTCGGTCAAGGAAACGTTCCTGACGCCATTCACCACCCAGCGACTGCTCGGCGCAGAGTCCGGTGGATCGCCCTCGACGCCGACCAGACTGTCTGGCTGGGTTCCGGCTGGCCAGGACTCTAGGCACCGCTCGTCCTCAAGGAGCGATTATTGATGGGACCACGGCAGGCGCCGCCAACGGTCCTCGTCTCGGAGGGGATATCGCAGCTGGTCACGGCATGGTCGTCGACGCCGTTCCCACTCAGACTCCCGCTCCAAGTCTCCGCCAAGACATTGCAGCCCTGGGTGTCAATCGCCAGCATCTCGCGTCTCGCCATCGCGGGTCCGCCCGTTGAGGCCATTCGTGGAGCAGCTGCTACCCTCGGTACTGGTTCTCCACGTCGAGATCGCGGTCCCGTGGCTGACGTCGATCCCGGCTCCGCCGTTCCTCCTGGGCCAGAGGCAACAGCAGACCGTACGCCAGCCCAGTCTCCATTCGTAGCTGTGCTTCGATGGGCCAGGCCAGCCAAGCCGAACAGCCGGCCCTGCTGGTGCCGCAGCAGGTGCAGTGGCACCGAGCGTCATGGCTGGCCCAATGGTGGGCACCATGGGCACCGTGGCCTCCAGCGCAGGCCCCGGTGGGGGCTCGCTCAGTGGCCGGAGCTTTGGAAGCACCATCGGCCTCCCTCTCCGGACCCCTTTGGAAGGAGTCGGTGGGACGTGCATCCTCGGCACCATTCCTGGAGTCCAACCAGGTGGTGGACCCTCCGGTGCCAGCCGATACCCAGAGCACCGCAACGGCCTCCTCGCCCTACCTGGAGGAGGCAGTAGTGGCTCCGCCCCACAGGAGGACTTCAGGGCCCATCAAGAACTCTTAAAGAGGGTGGCAGCATGTCTCCACCTCCAGGGCCCTCAGACTCCCTGTTTAACATGCTTTCCTTATTGACACCGGGTAGGTTGGCCTTGCCTCTCCGTGAAGGGGTGGCTAAAATTTCAAATGCCCTGTGGCAGACACCAGCTTCTTTGGCCCCTATCTCGAAGAAGGCAGAACGCAAGTACTTTGTACCTACCAAAGGGCATGAGTACTTGTATACCTACCCAGCGCCCAACTCCCTGGTGGTCGAGTCGGTCAACCACAGGGAACGGCAGGGTCAACCAGCCCCAACCCCAAAGAATAAAGACTCTCGGAGACTGGACTCTTTTGGAAGGAAAATTTATTCATCTTCGAGCTTCCCGTTGCGAGTGGCAAATCATCAGGCTCTCCTGAGCCGGTACGAATTCAGTCTGTGGGGCTCCCTGCTCAAGTTTGAGGACTCCCTCCAAGAGCACGATAGAAAGCAGTTCAAGGCGCTAGTGGAGGAGGGGGCAGCAGCCGCTAGGGCATCCCTACAGGCAGCCTCGGATGTGGCGGATACGGCCGCATGATCCATGGCCTCCGCGGTGTCCATGAGATGGGCGTCATGGCTCCTGCTCTCTGGGCTTTCCAGTGAGGCGTAGTCCTCCTTGCAGGATCTCCCATTTGATGGGAAAGCCCTGTTTGCGGAGGAGACAGATACAACGCTGCACGGCATGAAAGACTCCTGCATGACTCTCCAGACTCTGGGCCTATATGTACCGGCTCTGGGAAGACCTACGTTCAAGCCACAGCAGGCTTCCGCCCAGGCTGCCCTCCCGAAGTATGAGGCCACACACAAGAAGCAGCAGGACTATAAGAGATGCCCTCAGAGGCAGTCTCAGCTGGCCCCCCAGCCTGGCTCCTCTAAAGGCAAGCAGGCGGGGGAAAGGCACTTTTGATGGGCCACTCGGGGTCACCCCGCCAGTCCTCATCAGGGATCCAGCCTCAAGTAAAGCTCCCCTTCTCCAAATGGTTGCGTGCTTTCCTCCCAGGATGGTCGTGGCTAACCTCAGACCGATGGGTCCTCAACACCGTCTCCCATGGTTACACCCTCCAGTTTACTTCCTCCCTGCCCAACCACCCTCCACCCCGGTCCCTATTGGAGGACCCCTCACATGAGGCGCTGCTCGAGCAGGAGGTGGGGCAGCTCCTAGGACTAGGAGCAGCAGAGGCGTTCATTGGCAAGGGGTATTACTCCTGATACTTCCTTATCCCGAAGGCCAAAGGGGGCTCAGACCCATCCTGGACCTGCAAGGTCTGAACCAGAACATGGTGAAACTCAAGTTCCCCATGGTTTCCCTGACCTCCATCATCCCTCCCTGGATCCCGGGGACTGGTATGCTGCCCTCGATCTGCAAGACACATACTTCCACATCCACATATTTGAGGGGCACAGGCGCGTCCTCCATTTTGTGGTGGGACAGAATCATTACCAATTCACTGTCCTCCCATTTGGTCTGTCCACTGCCCTCAGGGTATTTACAAAATGCATGACGGTGGTAGCAGCCTACCTCAGACGGCGCAGGGTGGGGTCCAGATTTTTCCCTCTCTGGACGATTGGCTGGTCAAGGGCACCTCCCGGTTGCAGGTGCGGGATCACATGGCACTCCTACTGTCCACATGCACCGCCTTGGGCCTGTTAGTAAACAGTACCAAATCCACGTTAGTCCCGGTCCAACGCACAGAGTTTATCGGGGCGCTCCTGGACGCAGCATCGGCCACAGCCTCTCTCCTGCCAGACAGATTTGAGACCCTGAAAGGTCTCATTGACTCGGTTTCAGAGTTCCCAGTGACAACAGCCAGGGTTTGCCTGCAGCTCTTGGGTCACATGTTGGCATGCATGTGCATGGTTCGTCATGCCAGACTCAGGATGAGGCCTCTCCAACTCTGGTTGGCCTCGAAGTTCTCCCAGGCCATGGACAGGACGGACAAAGTCCTCACCATGCTGGACTCTGTGATCACCTCCCTACAGTGGTGGTCCGCTCCAAACAACATGCTCCAAGGGGTCCCGTTCAGGGACAGGGCTCCATCGTTGGAGCTGGTGTCCGATGCATCGGACCTGGGTTGGGGGCCCATGTGGGGAACTTTCAGACCCAAGGCCTGTGGTCGGCCCAAGACCTGACCCTACATATAAACGTCAAGGAACTCAGGGCAGTGCGGCTGGCATGTATGGCCTTTTGCTCGCACCTAGAGGGCAAGGTAGTCAGGGTCCTCACAGACAACACGGCCTCGATGTTCTATATTAACAGGCAAAGCGGGGCCCGATCCTCTGCCCTGTGCCATGAAGCCCTCAGGCTGTGGGACTTCTGTGTAGCCCACGACATCCACCTGAAGGCCTTCCACCTACTGGGCTCCTGGAACAAGAGAGCGGATCGCTTGAGCAGGAACTTTTCCTCGCAACACAAGTGGTCCCTCCACCTGGAAGTGGCCCACCAGCTCTTCCGAAGGTGGGGAACTCCCAAGGTGGACCTATTCGCAACTTGGCAGAATAGGGATGTCCCCGGTTCTGCTCTGGGGGGGCCTGGAGAGGGGCGCTATCTCCGATGCCTTTATCCTGTCCTGGTCAGGCCGGCTTCTCTATGCCTTCTCCCTGTTCCCTCTAATCAGCAGGGTCCTGGAGAAGATAAAGCTGGACAAGGCCCGAGTCCTCCTGATGGCCTAGGCAACATTGGTACGGGACCCTCACGGGCCTGGCGGTAGCTCTGCTGTGGCCATTGCCGCTCCACCTGGACCTGCTCTCTCAGGACCAGGGCTGCCTCCTCCATCCCAACCTAGCAGCGCTTCACCTCACGGCGTGGCTGCTCAGTGGTTAGGTGGAAAGGAGAGGATGTGCTCAGAACAGGTTCAGCGTATCCTCCTTGAAAGTAGATGGCCTTCCACTCGCCACGCTTATTTGGTGAAGTGGTCCCGTTTTTCTAGATGGGCGGCAGACCACAGTGTCTCTCCACTGACCGCCCCTATCCAGCTTATTCTGGACTACCTCCTCCACCTGAGAGCCTAGGGTCTGGCGCCTTCATCAGTCAATATCACCTGGCAGCCATATTGGCCTTCCATCCGCTGGTGCAGGGGCACACAGTATTTTCCCATGCTATGACTTGCCAGTCCTTCAAGGGGTTGGACCATCTTTTCCCATATTCTAGACCCCCACTCCCACGATGGGACCTGAACCTGGTGTTGACTTGTCTCACGGGGCCCCCTTTTGAACCACTGGCCACGTGCTCCTGGTCACACCTCTCATGGAAGGTGGCCTTCCTGGTTGCAATCACGTCAGCCAGCTGAGTCTCGGTGCTCAGGGCCGTGACCTCTGAGCCTCCGTACATGGTTTTTCATAAAGATAAGGTCCAGCTCCGTCCACACCCCGCATTCCTCCTGAAGGTGGTCTCCGCTTACCACATGGGTCAGGACATTTTTCTACCAGTCCTCTGCCCCAGGCGTCCAGTGAGGAGCGCCGTCTCCACACGCTCAATATGCAACGAGCTCTGGCTTTCTACCTCGAGTGGACCAATCCGTTCAGAAAGTCCTCGCAACTGTTTGTCACCTCAGCCGAGCGCACGAGGGGCCAGCCGATTTCCACTCGGCGGCTTTCCAGTTGGATCACCTCATGCATCCATACCAGTTATGAGCTGGCAGGGATTCCCCGCCGCCCATTGTGAGGGCACATTCGACTTGGGTGCAGGCCTTGTCGGCTGCCTTTGTGGCCCACATCCCATTCAGGACATCTGTAGGGCTGCCATGTGGTCTTCGGTTCACACATTCACCTCGCACTATGCAATCGTCTCCCAATTCAGGGATGATGCCGGGTTCGGCGGGGCTGTCCTCTGTCCTGGGAACTTGTGAACTCCCACCCACCTCCAACAGATATAGCTTGGAATCACCTATTGTGGAATTCACATGAGCAATCACTTGAAGAAGAAAAGATAGTTACCTTTTCCGTAACTAGTGTTCTTTGAGATGTGTTGCTCATGTCTGTTCCACATCCCGCCCTCCTTCCCCTCTGTCAGAGTTGTCTGGCAAGAAGGAACTGAGGGTTGGGGGGAGCGCGCAGCTCCCCTTATACCGCGCCGGGAAGGCGACACTCCAGGGGTCGGGGGGGCACTCCCCCCTACGGGTACTGCTAGGGGAAAAACTTCCGGCACCGGTGCATGTGGCGAGCTCGCACACCTATTGTGGAATAGACATGAGCAACACATATTAAAGAACACCAGTTACGGAAAAGGTAACTGTCTTTTATTTTACGAGGATAGTCAGTCATGATTTGAAAGCACATGCTGCTCCGGTTGGATCAGTTGGTATTGTGTGCTCTAGTGGGAACAGGAATAGACCCTTGATGGTGAACTGGAAGCTACTGAGTAAGTGGTGGTGAATAGAGGCTTACTACAGCAATGGAGACATCTAGCAGAACTCTCCTACGTTTGTGCTCTAGGATTTTTGACTGCCTGGGTTTGTGCAATAGGCCGTACCTGCCCTGCTCCCAGCTTCCACTTCTATTTGTATGAAAAATACCTGTAAAGACTGAATTTCTCACTTTGTTTTACAACTTCTTTCCAAATAGGTGAAAAGGGTCCTCCCGGGTTGATTGGCTTTCCTGGCATGCCAGGCCTGCCTGGTATCCCTGGGGTGAGTGGGCTGAAAGGAATTCCTGGGTCAGCTGGAAGGGAAGGAAATATTGGATATTCTGGACCCTCTGGTCTAAAAGGTGAGTGCTGAAAAACAAATGTGACTAAATTACTGGGTTGCTGCAGCAAGGGGCCCAAGTAGGGTGACCAGGTACCCCGATGTTATTGGGACCATCCTGATATTAGGGGTTTTGTCTTATATAGGACCCTATTACTGCCCACCCCTTGTCCTGATTTTTCACTGGTCACCCTAGGCCCAAGAGCAGCAAGGGAGGAGAGCTGCTTCCGTTTTTTGATTGCCAGTTTATTATCTATTCAGGGTGTAAAGTAGCTGTAGCCTGGTTTTAAAAGGTGCTGAGCACCTACAGCTCAAATGGCTTCAGTGGGCGTCACAGGTGGTCCGCAGCTCTGAAATCCAGGCCTCTTGTGTTTAAACACTTTTAAGAGACCCTTCTCTCGTACAGCTTAATTCTCTTACATCTTCAGGTGACAGGGGTGATCGAGGTCCACCTGGACTCCCGGTTCTTAGGCCTCCAGAATTGGCATTGGCATTCAAGGGAGACAAAGGTGATCGTGGGTCACCTGGACTGAGAGGATTCCCTGGACCTAGAGGTATTTACCGGCATTAGAATACGTTCCAAATGAAAGTTGCCACCACTAACCACCCAGTAATTCTGATTGCTCTGGGCAGAGGATGTTCTGTCCATTTAGCAGCCTGCAGTATTGTTACTTTCAGATTCTACAAAGATTTTCCACACAGCCACTCTGAATTTGAATCAAGAGTTGCTCTTCAAAGCTGTGCTTCTTTATTGCAGAAATAATGAAATCTCCTCCTCTTCTTTGCAGGGAGCATTGAAGAATAAGCTTCTTGACTGGGCTGAATGTCTTTATGATGATGTAGCCACACATTTTTGTTTGCTGTATACATTTAGGTGATAAAGGATTCCCTGGACCCCGTGGACAACCTGGTCTTCCTGGTCCACGAGGATCGCCAGCCACAGATAGAGGACTACCTGGTGATGCAGGGTTCCCAGGCCTGCCTGGACCACCCAGCTTGCCAGGACAGAAAGGACAGGCTGGAATCATAGGATTACCCGGATTTCCAGGAGAAAGTGTAAATATGCATCTTCCATTCTGAGTGCACTTAGAAAAATCCCACATACTGTATCAGAACAACAGAGGCTGGCAGTACTTTTGTCTACCACACCACCTCACTGATAAAATCAGCTCTCCTCTGGTAATAGCTGGCACTGATAAATGAAAAAGAGGGTTTTCTTTTTTCTCCAGACAGATTGGGGCGCAATTCACTGCTATCAGCACAACCCAGGCTGCAGGCAGTAGGCATGAGGATAATCATCTATTATTTTTTCCAGGGTTCAGAGGGTATCTCAGGAGCACCAGGGTTCCCAGGAACTGTTGGTTTCCCCGGTCCAAAGGGTAAGAAAATGATTTCCAACCCCCAGGCCTTTTCCAGAGTGTGACCCAGCAGAAGAGAGTGGGTGAGAGACTGTGAGGGAAAAGTTGCCAGTTTTTGATTTGCTTGGATGTAAATATTCTGAGCAGCTCTCATAGCAAATAGGGGACGTCCCTTAAAATACAGGATGGGTGGCTGGACAAGTCAGTGGTTACCAGAAACCTTCTGAGGTAAATCCACTAGAAATCTGCTCTGTGTATTCCTCCCTCTGTTGTTATTTAAATGCACTTAGTTCACTGAGAATCACAATGCAGACAGGAGAGGCAATTTTCAACTGTCCCCTGCTCTGGTTGTTTTAACAGAGTTGTACATGTTAAGAGATGCAGTCAGGGAACTTTTTGCAGTGGACCATAAAGCAATGAACAATGCCACATACTCTTGTGTGCCAGTAGATGGTGCTCTTTGTTTTAACCACCTACCTAAATACGCAGCTAGGCTGGGATTTTCAAAGGAATTAGGATCCCAATTCCCATTGGAATTTAGTGGGAATTTGATGCTTAAATAGCAAACAGCAAACTTAAATAGCAAACAGTCTCTGTGTCCATAGCACAATACCAGAGACATCCAGAGATCTAGAAAATAATCCTATATCAATCATATAAATAAATAGAAGCTGTGAAGTGAAAAGCTAGGTGTTACCTGTGATCTAATTTGTGGCTTATTGGATCATTGCATAGCTCTGCATCCAAAGCTGATGCAAATATTGTTAAAAGGATTTATTTTACCCCAGGCAAGTAATTTGTTTTGCCTTTGTTAAGTCCGTGGATTTGAACTGTAGCAAAGGTGTATTTTCAAGAGAAAGAGTAGTAAGCAACATGTAAAAGCTACAATTCAGGAGTGAATGGGTTAATTACAGAATGGTCTACCAGCACAATCAAGTCCGGAGAGCAAAATTTCCCTTTCTTGACTTCTACCAGGTGACCCGGGGGAATCACTTGGAATTCCTGGTGGGTTAGGAGATAAAGGAGAACGAGGGGACCGTGGATTCCCAGGTAAAGTAACCCTTGATGGTTATGAATTTCTGGAATGAAAGCTGCAGGGTTTATCCTTGGGCATTGCTGCACAAGCTTGTGATTTTACTATCTGAAAACACTTATTGAGTCTTCTCGTGCAGATGAGAGATGTGGGGATTAGAAGCTGGCCCATGCCTGAGCCTAAAAAATTCTAAATGCTCCAAAACCAGCCAAAATCCTAATCTCAATCCCAACCCTCAGGTCCCACCTAACTTCTCATATTCTGTAGGTTCCAGAGCACCCAGTCTCTGGCATCCTGATAGCATTGTCCAGGCCCCTGTTCAGTGGCCTTTGGTGCAGCAGCATCAGGAAATGCATATACTTCTCATTTTCTTCAGGCCTTTCTCTAGTATAGCTTCTCTGCCAGATTAGAGAGAAGAAGCAATGTAGCCTTATGGTTAGAGAAGTGGACCGAAAGTCACCTTTCCTGCTGACTTATCATATGAGTTTGGGCAAGTTATTGAAATATATCATAGCACCTCTTCTAGAAGGATCTCAACCAAAGTGCAGTATAGAGCGTTGAGATAACGTCCTCAAAGCAAGCAGAGTAGCTGTTATGCCACTAAGATTTGGTGTAACCTAAGACTATTAACTGGTTCAGCTGAAAGGGGGAATGATGCTGGGACACTTTTTTATTTTTTTTAAAAAAGAAAAGCCATGGGATCATTAACTTCCACCTGCACAGTTTCTAGGGATGGGCAGAAATTGACATTGATTAGGTGTCTCATCTGAAATGCCTAGCCTTGGACGGCAGTGACAGCAAAGTCTTGTTATGAAGTTAGAATTTATAGAACCTGATTTTCAGAAGTTCTGAGCACAAACAGTTAAAATGAGTCTCCATAACTTTTTGATCCAGTGGGGAGAGAGTCACCCACTGAGCCATAGTGACACAGAAATTACTGTGACTTCTTGATAGTAGAAAGGACCTTCCTGTCTCTCTCTCCCATTTTTATTTTTTTTATTCCTAGTACTCGGCAGTGACCTGTGATTGGTTGCAAATGTTCCGTCTGGCCAGTAGCCTGCTCCATTGGATATTGCTGCTCATCCCTTGACCTCACAAAGGATACTGGGAGATCATAACAGCAGTATCCTATAGTCCACTCCAATGGCCATAGCACTGCAAAGCAGAATTGTTAGTTCATTCCCAACCCTTAGATAACAGATACATGATGGTATGGTCTGTGGGCTTTTATATGGTCTAACATGATTTTCGCTCTTATCATTTAAGGTGAGAGGGGGAAAGATGGGCCAAAGGGTGAACCAGGATACCCAGGAAGCACTGGCCTGGATGGGCCTAAAGGTGTCCCAGGTGACCTTGGCCAAGAAGGACCACCAGGTATGGCAGTGAGCATAACATCTAACCAGTGAGGTTTGTGGATGGTCAAAGATATAGTTTTGTTGTTTTAGTTTTTGTTCTTATGTTGCTTGTGATAGGGCTGCCTCATCTTAATAGAGAAATAAACAGAAAAGACCTTTAGTAACAGACACATCTGTCATCTTGCACTCTGTATTTTCCTCTATTCTTGGTCTGAAAGGTAGGACCACTTTCTGTAGTGATAAACCTAGAGGCGGATCCTGCATTGTAACGCCTGTGTAACATAGCACAGAAGATACAGCCAAAGGGAAAGGGGAGGAGGAGAGCTGAGTTTTAGCCACCTTTGCACCTCCTGGATCCTGCGCTGTTTCTGGGGTTCGAATGATCCCTGGTGTGAGTTACAGACGGTAATTTACAGCAGGCTCTCCGTGGCTGGTTCTCCAGCCATTGTCATGATTAACAATGTAGATAGTCAATGTATATATCTGTGAATTATTTACCCAAGTCTATAATCTGGGCAGATGATGAAAAACACATTGGTTGAATAATTAATATGGGAAAAAATAGTGAAATTAATCAGATAAACTGTTTGATAAATATTCTACAGCTAGTTGTTGTGATGATATGTGATAATAGAGAGTGTGTGTTTTGGGGTTGCTTTGTCTAGGTAGCAGTTTGCTCATCCACCACTTCTACTTTACATTGCCATGAGAGGGTGAAAGACTGCAAATTGTAAAAGAGAGTTGTCCAATGCTTACTCTCAACAGTGCGGGTACATGTGTGAAAGTCCATCCCTTGTCATTTTGTCACTTCTTTTCAGGCCTCCCTGGAATTGCTGGGTTGCGAGGAAATGCAGGTCTCCCGGGTTCTCCAGGGCTGCCTGGACCTGTAGGATTCATCGGACTCCCTGGGATAGCAGGGCCAAAAGGTGCATCTTTCTTTAACTTTCCACCTGGGGAAAAAGTCAAATCAAGAAACTGGCGTATTGGGTGGGTAGGAAATAGCAGACAGCACAGCTGTAGCCCCCTGTGCTTGGGCTGGTGGGCATTAGTAACTGCCCCTCATTTCTTAGTGGTGTCAGTGTTGGCTCCTGCTGTTCAAAACCTGAAGAATGTCTGAAAAGGGAGAGGCTCTTATCTGATTTTTGAGGTTTGGGTCACTAGTAGGGTTTCGTTGCAGGTAAAACTATAAAAGTAAGTGACTATGGGAAAAGCTCTTCGTCTTGCATTAATGGGAGGTGTCTAGAGGAAAATCTTACTTGCATTGATCTCCAGAAGCACTAAACGCATGCACAGCCTCCTTGTTTTGTACATTTCCTTCAGATTAGCAGCTTCTTATATGCTACAAGCTATTGGCTGTCCATTCAAGCTTCTATAATGTCTCCTCAGGATTCCCTGGATTTCCTGGTTTAAATGGTCTGAACGGCTTACCAGGCACAAAAGGGTCACCTGGAACACCAGGTAAAAAATTGCTGCTGGGGTATATTTAGAGGGGTGGGGTTTGAGTGACGACGTAGTTTGTCACAAAATGGCTCCATTTTAGTCATGTTCTGGATTTAACAGAAATAACAAGGAACCCACATTGTGCATCTTGCGTCAGTATTCTTACTAAATGTGTGAGACCAAATTCTGCTTCAATAATGAAGCATTAGCACTGAATTCAATGGGGTTTCACACATGAAAACGAGAGCAGAATGTTTTCTGCAGGTGCCATTGGGGTTGTAAGTCCTGCCTCAACACCTGAACCAGCCTGTAACCGCTACGAAGTTAATTTGATGAAAGTATAGGCCTGTTCTCTCCCTCATTTCCGTTACTCTGATTTCACCCAGACGACATTTGGATGTTTGGTTAGGTTTTGGTTTAAAGATGACAAGTTGCCGCATAGATCTCAATTACACTGGGCCTGTGCTTGTAGCATCACCTCGTTCATGAGAGTAGCATCACTGAAGTCTGTGGGCTTCCTCACATGAGTGAGAGCATCAGGCCCGTAGGCTGCACTTAGGAATGTTCTGCTGGTTTTTCATATTTTGATGGTAATATGAAAAATAGTTCTTTTTTTCTCAACAATGTTTTGACAAATTCAAAGAGGTGGAGAAAGACATATGGGGAGAGAGGCATATCTAGTCAGAATCATCCTCCAAGTCTGAACATTTTAAAAATGATAGCAAACGTCAGATTTGTTAACTTTAAATTGTAACTGGATAAATGAAAGAAGCACAGGCGTTACTGGACATAAACAGTGTTAAGACTGAACATAAAATTTCTAGTTTGTAAATATCTCTCTAGTGCTCTCCATGTTTCCCTGATTTCAAAGTCTTTATTTTTGGGAAATAAAGACAATTGCCATATTTTCTGAAGCACTCAAATGATTTGCATTTGTTTTCTGATTTTCACGTCTGTGAGAATGGAAAGACTATATAATATTGGCTCTTGCCAAGCACACCATGGGAAGCATCTCCCAGAGCCCTGCTTCTATCCTGCAGCACCTCATGCTTCACTCCAGATCTTCTTGAGCAGTGGATGTTGATTGATCCCTCCATCTTGAAATTCTTTGAACAGTGGGTTCAACTCTGTATTGTATCTCCTGAGAGGAGCGGCACAGAAGACACAATCCAGGGGGATGGAAGGCAAAATTGACTTTCCCAAGCTGTCTATGGGCTTCACTGGAACCCAGAATCCTTGTTGCACCAAGCACCATGGGCACATCCTTACACCAAGGCTCACAAAAGGAGTAGCATAGGGCTATGCTGTTCTTAGGCTGGGAGAATTCTTCCCCGGCCCCTTGGGTCTTATTTACATCCACTGTGCACCACCAGAGCAGCATATAAGGGACTGGAGTTGGGACCAGATTCGGCCCCAGTGATTTCTCTGAACTCCAGGCAGTAGAGGGGTGAATGGCTAACACTGTATACTGACTGAACATGCAAATGAACTTACATCAAGCAGTTTTAAAAGGCTCCTCTGTCCCCTTTAAACATGTTTGATTAGGTCTGAGTGAAGCTGGACTGAATGGCCCTGCAGGGCTTCCAGGTCCTAAGGGTGAAGAAGGTTCCCCAGGCATTGGCCTAGGAGCCCCAGGACTCCCTGGGCAGAAAGGATCATCAGGAGACATGGGTAAATAGTAATGTCTGTGGAAGCAGATGAATTGTATTGACTGATCGAATGTACCTAGACTTGGGACAGCAGGGAGTATATGTAGGGTCAGTGTAGTTTAATAATGGAAATTCACAGTCATAAAGATGTGAAGGGGCCATTGGTTTGTTGATTTGTAAACACAAAGTAAAGGTATGGCATGGTCTAATGTATGACAAATGATTGAGTGCATAGTTTGAATTAGCTTTTATAGTTCTCTTGTGGTGCTAATGAGAAAGGGGGTTTGTTCCTTCCCTGGAGGGGGAGGGGGTGTTGTTTGGGATAACATCCTGTATCCATATTGATGTTACACTGTCCACGTGGATCATCCCTGATGATCACAATAGGAATGCAGGCATTGCCTGGTTTTTTTTCAATATTCATCTGTAATTCTAGGTCTTCCAGGTACCTTGGGTCTGCCTGGTTTACCAGGGCCTCCTGGCATCTCTCTTCCTTCAAATATACCTGGGAGACGTGGTGATTCTGGCCGTCCTGGAGTGGATGGGAATCCAGGTATGAAGATGAGAGCCTCCTTCGTGTACCTCATTTGTGTTATATGCTCTAACTGTGGAAATGGCAAGGTTGACTGCCATTCATATACACATTTCCTGGGAACAGCTGAGAAGGGGAAATTGGATTTTATGAGCAATCAGTCAGTCTAATCTGGTGTTTAGAGCAGGGATTGGGAATCAAGAGGTCTGGGTTCTCTGTTCTTTGCTCTGCCACTGACCTGGAGTAAATGGTTTTATTGCTCTATGCCTCGGTTTCCCCTGATGTAAAATGGGGATAATAATACTGTGCTTATCCAACTTCATAAATGCTTTGAGCTTCTTGGGTGAAAGGTGGCAATATAAATGCAAAATAACAATTTCTCATTAATCACGAGTATGATTTAATTATTGTATTCAGATTTCATCATGCCGTCGTTATCATCCTCATTCCTGTTGTTGTTCCTTTTTTATTTGTACTGCGGTAGTGCCTGGGAACCCCACTCATGGACCAGGCCCTCACTGTGCTAGGCGCTGTACAACCACAGAACAAACAGACGGTCCCTGCCGCAAAGAGCATCACTGTACATACTCTGATCAATCACAGTGCAGCGTGACTCACCAGTGCTCGCAGGGGGAAGGGATGTGAACTCCCGTCGCTTGCAGTTGGGGAACCAAAAGCAATAGAGATTTGACCTACAACACAATAGTTTGTAGTAAATCCTCCTCCTGGCCTGCTGAGCTGACTGTTATGAAGGGGAAATGATATTTTTGATGATCCCTCACCCTGGAAACCTTGCTCCCATGCAGCCAAAGAGTGAATGAATGAGTATTCCATAGGGTGACCAGCTGAGGATAATAGGAGCATTCTGTCTGTTACAGGAATTGATTTTTCTCACCCATTTTGTTCCTAGGCCCCCCAGGTCCTCCAGGTCCTCGGGGGCTCTCCGGCCCAGCCTCCAATCAAGGTGATACCGGCCTTCCAGGTTTACCTGGAGTTCCTGGTTTGCCAGGCATAAAGGGTGACATAGGACTCCCTGGTCCAACTGGAATTCCAGGAGCTTCAGGACTCAAAGGTATTTTTGTACAGGGTTTTGAAGCTGCCCCCTGGGAGTATAAAGAGCTGTCACATGTTGTGAGCCTGATAGCTGTGAAATCAGCTCTGATGTAGGTGTGTGTCACTCTGGGATTTGTTTTCTGTTCCGGGAACGCTGAAGGTAGGTTTCTCCAAAGCACTCCATTTTTACCTACAGGGATGGAGCGACGATAGGCCACCCAGCCCTGAGCACTCTTGAAAATCCCACCTTGCATTTTTTCACTTCTCTTCATTATTTTAGGTAACAGCTGCCCACAGACAGGAACACCGTCTTTGCTGTTTGCTGCTGTTGGTTGGGATTGCCTATCCCCAGATCCACATACAGATCTCCCCTCTTCTGTGGGCCAGGAAGAGCTGCTGCCACAGCTCTCTCCTACCCATCCACACATCCTCTGGGCCTCGCCTTGGCCACACCATGGACTTGGAGATCCATGAGGGGGCAGAGACAGAGTGGTCTGTGGGGAGTCAGGCAGGGCCAGTGGGGGAGCACATCACCCTTCCTCTGGTCCCCCCCTGTAGGAAGCGTCATTCTACGGGCGCTATGGAGCTTGGGAGCCAGGTGAGGAAGGACACTGGAGATCCAAGCTGCTGTGAGAGCACGAGGCCTCTGGCAGGTTCCCTGGGTTTGTGGGTGGGCTCCAGGGCCTATTCGTGAGGGCAAACCCTGCCCCCTTGGGGGTGTCAGTGGGGAGAAATTTCACATGGGGAAGATACCTCCTCCCCAGAACCCCCTCCCATGGCTTTTTCCACAAGAGGGAATGATGTGTGCAATGATTTCAGAGTCAGTGTAAGATTCCCCGCTAATAATGTTACAGTGGAAGCTCTCACAGAATAGCCCCGCGGAGGTGCCAGTCAGTTCTGGGAATCAGAACTGACACAAGGGTGCGACTATGTCGTTTAGAACCACACCTCTGCCCCCCGGTGCATCTGCCAGTATTTCACGCAGGTACAGAACCAGGGATTCGTTTTCGAGATCCATTACTCTTTGCTCTGTATCTTCTCAGGTGTGAAGGCTGAGCCAGGCTTTATGGGGATGCCAGGTAAAGATGGGCTTCCAGGGGACCCTGGAATTCCTGGGCTGAAAGGTGAAACTGGCCGTCGAGGTGAGCACAGGATGGTTTGGAGAGCTGTACTGCACTTGCAAACAGCTTGTGGGGTGGAAGGTCGGGGAGCACAGTGAGCGGGTTTCTGTTCTTTTGGGGTTTGTTCCTTTTTTCCACCCAAGTATAAAGCCAGAGCTTTTGGTGACTTTTAAATGGGGATGGGCATAAACCAGCAACCCAGCTCCAAACACGCCCAGACTTTGGGAATGTTGGGAACCGTCTTTGCAACTTTGTTACTTAAAATGTATCTTCTTTAGTGTTTTCTCTGTGGAGACAACTGCTTTCAGAAATTGGAACTCTCTCTGTTTCTGTGTTGATCTTTCTATCAATCTCTGTGTCTTTCCTGCTGGGGAGGAGGGTGGGCAGGAGGATTACTGTTTCTCCCCCAGATCCCCAACAACCTGTATTTGTAGCCAAAAAAATAAAAAAGGGGCTGGGACTTAGGGAAATTAGGGACTTTTAACAAGAGCTTGGGAAGTCATGGGAATATACCCAGTGCTAACATACAGGGCATTCTCAATTTGTTGAACTACATCCTTGGGCTAGTAGATCATCCTATCTGTGCACTTTATGTGGGGTGCTTAGGGTGCCATTTGCAATGTGTACAGGTTTCCCGGGCCTACCAGGCGCTCCAGGCCTAGTACCAAAACCAGAAGAAGTCATAGTTCCTCCAGGGCTACCTGGTCTGCCAGGAATTGATGGAGTCCCTGGCTATGCTGGAGATCGTGGATTTCAGGGACCAGATGGGCAGCAAGGTAAAAAGCAGCACATCAAATAAGTGAAACTGAAATGTTGGACTTCTTGCAGTCACAGGAAGCGGCTTTGTAAATTGTGCTGTCAAAGTTCATATGCTTTTGTTTAGAAGCTTTGTAGTGGAAATGACCACAGTGTATCTATCTTTTCTTTTTATTAGAACCGGCTAGAAATATTTTCTTGTACATTATGTTCACAGGATTTTGTAGCCTCTTTTGCGTTAGGTTCATGGAACTGAAAGCAGCCGTCATGATGCAGTTGGCATGATGGCAACGCGGATCTGGCAGCAGATCTAATCAGTGTGAGAATGATTCATTTTGGAGAATTATTGAGATTGTGTCAACATGAAATACTGTAACACATTGCTTTAGGAACCTAATTTTGCACTGTTGTAGTTCTGCCGTTGACTTCAGTGGGTGCAGGATCAGATCCTACATAGCCACCACTGCAATGCTGAATGTTCCTTGTCATTTGGGGAAATGATTACAACTTAATCTTAAATATTAACTCAATTTCTCAAGGTGCAAGCTCTTGGAGAGACAGAATCCCAGTAGGTGTCTGCTCTTTTCCCTGCACGCTGGTCTAAAGCACAAAATTACAATATTAAACAGAGACCTCAAGTGCTAATTCCATTGAATTTTACAGCAGGTGGGAGAGGGGAATTTAGATTCAAATCCATGGATCTAAACTTGCCATTATGTAACTTTGGAGCGTATGAGATCCAAAATTGGAGGATGCCCATTTGGATGTGGCTGAAATCAATCAAAGATAGCTGCTTCTGTAAGGGTTTAGCCCAAAAATGGTGGTAGTCTTCTGAGACCAGGTAATCTTTTCTCTGTTTACAATGGCAGAAATCTTGAGAGATCAGATGAAAATAATCACAAAATTTTACTGGCATCATATCCAAACCTGAATCCAAGTTCTGCTTTGGCTTCAAACTCAAATCCACTGGAGCCTAAGCCTGACCCAGATCTGAACACTCTCTCTTCTGTTCATTTGTAATGCTTGAACATGTTATACGCATCATGTCGTAGGTCATATTGAATCACAGTGCCAAGCTATTAATTTGTTAAATTTGTTAAATTGTAAATTTAAGCCCTCAGCATTGCTAATCATGATACATCCTCCTGTTGATGCCAGGAGTGAAGTCTTTGATGAGAGAAGCAAATTAAATAATAATCATTACATTTAATTACAGGTCCAAAAGGTCTGTCAGGCAGATCAGGTCAGGTGGGCCGTCCTGGTTTACCAGGGCCAGATGGCACAGTTGGGGACCCAGGAACCCCAGGTATTCCAGGGCCACCAGGATTGGAAGGTAATTTTATTCTTTAATTTGTTCTTTTGGTATTCTATGAGTGCTCAATCAGCAAGATTTCAGCTGGCCTCCTAATGCAGGGATGCCGCCCAAGGCCACAGACATCACAGAAATTCCACGTTATAGACTTAAAAAAGAAGGACCTATGTGGTGCCCAGGATCTTGTGCCTTGTGTCTGCATTGATGTGAATTTCACCTTTAGTGAGACAGTTGGGAGTAAACTCACCCACTGCAGCATGCTCTAGCGTATGCGATTACTATCTGTTGATACTGATGATTGAGGCAACAATTTTGTTACAGAGGTCAAGGAATCTGTGACTTCCAGAGACTTCCATGACTTCAGCCCACAGTGGCTGGGAGCAGTAGGGTCCCCCACTGCCCACGGTGGCCCGGGAGCTGTTGGGTACAGATGGCAGTGGCCCTCCAGAGCTTCAAGCTGCCGAGCTTGTGGGCAGCAGGGGCTCCCCACAACTCCTGGCTGCCCCAGGCAGTGGGGACCCTGGAGCTCCAAGCCCCCACAGGTGGTGGGGGCTCCCAGATCTCTGAGATGGGGCCCCTGCAGCTGCCCAGTCGCTGTCGGAGGTGTGGGGGCTCCACAGCTCCCCATTTTGTCAGGCATATTTTTAGTAAAAGTCACCGACAGGTCAAGGGCTTCCATGAATTTTTCTTTATTGCCTGTGACCTATCCGTGACTTCAGTAAAAATATCCATGACAAAATCTTAGCCTTACTTATCTTAGCCTTAGAATTACTGATGATTCATTGTATAGGATGCTGGACACCCTTCTAGCTGTAATAAATAGGGAGTCATCAGGAGGGTTTGGAAGCACAAGAGCAGGGCATTCCCTGTAGAATTTGAAAAGGAGCGAGTCAGAAAGGAGAAATGTGGTTGGAGTGGGATGGTGAATGGGAGGCACATCCTGGTGCTTGACTGAGAGTCAGAGCGTCTGGGTTTTGTTCCTGGCTGTACCACAGACTAGCTCTGTAACCTGGGACAAGCTACTGAACCTTTGTGCCATCAGGGTAAAACACCACCACCTACAGCACTTGTGTGGGAATTAACGAGTGCTGGAGGGCCTCACCCGGAAGGGCAAGGCAGAATTATTGTATTATGAACTACAGTTGCTAGTGCCTGCATACCACTGTGATTGGGTGAGACACAGAAAAATTAATGATATGGAAAGTGATTAATGGTGAGTCAGTACCGTAGTGTACTGATCGGCTTTGAGACTCAGCCGGGCCTATTCGATCACATGGCACCCATCAATACTTGAGCTTTACGTTGCTTGCAGGTAGGGCAGAAGTGACATAAATGCCCAAACACAAGTCAGCTAACTTACAGTGTACTCACAACTTGTGACTGACTTTCTCTCCCAGGTGTATCGGGAAAGCCAGGCCTGTTTGGTTTGCCCGGAATGCCGGGTCGGAGTGTAGGCGTTGGATACACTTTGGTGAAGCACAGCCAGTCAGAGCAGATCCCACCATGCCCAATTGGAATGAATAAGCTCTGGGAGGGTTACAGCTTGCTGTATGTGGAGGGGCAGGAAAAGGCGCACAACCAGGATCTAGGTGAGTCAAAAAGTCTCTGTCACAAATGAGGCAGGCCAAATTCCACTCCCCCGTACACACTGCACAACTCCCACTGATTTCACTGGGCTTTGTAAGAGGTGTGAATCTGAGGGTGGAATATGACACTGAGGGAGCAATGATACTAGCCACTTGCTTATCATCTGGGTCTGGTCTTTACTAGCTCTTGCCTTTTGGCAGCAGCTTGATGAGCCCTTTGTTCTCTTCTCCATTCCCCTCCTCCCTGCCTCCCTCCCCCACCCAGGTTTTGCTGGCTCCTGCTTGCCTCGCTTCAGCACCATGCCATTTATTTACTGCAACATCTATGAGGTGTGCTACTATGCCAGCCGAAATGACAAATCCTACTGGCTCTCCACCACTGCTCCCATCCCCATGATGCCAGTGAGCCGTCTGGAGATCCCACAGTACATCAGTCATTGCTCAGTGTGTGAAGCACCTTCCCAGGCTATTGCAGTACATAGCCAGGACATTACCATCCCGCAGTGCCCCGAGGGCTGGCGCAGCCTGTGGATCGGATACTCTTTCCTAATGGTAAGAAAATCGATTTGTTAATGCAAAGACGGTCACACTATACGAGGCTTGTTTTAATATTGGCATTAAAACCTAAGCATTCACTCCTTAGGGCAGGTTGTTGTGGAGCTTTCAGTTTCTTGGACGCAACTGTTAAAAACTAGCAAACTTAGTGGCAAAGTCAAACTCTGCCACTAAGTTTGCTAGTTTTAACAGTTGGGTCCAAGAAACTGAAAGCTCCACAACGAGCTGACCTAAGGAGTGCCTTGCGTATTACCAGCAGGCCAAGTATAACCTCAGCCATTTTGTTGCCATTTAGCTAACTTCTCAAGTGTATTGATAAAGTTTACGGTGGGGTGGAAGAAATAGAACACTTCCATACTATCAAAGAGACTAGTGGCCCGTAAGAACTGATTCCTTTAAACCTCAAAACAGCTAATTAACTATAGAGAGACAAGGTCGGTGAGGTAATATCTTTTACTGGATCAACTTCTCTTGGTGAGAGAGAAAACTTTTGAGCTTACGCTGAGCTCTCCTTCAGCTCTTCCCAGACCTCTAAGCCCGAAGGCTTGTCTTTCTCACCACCAGCAGTTGAGCTAATAAAAGATATTATCTCACCCACCTTGTGTCTCTAATATCCTGGGACCAACATGGCTACAACACTGCAATTAAACTATAGCACAGACATAACCCCTTCTTCTCCCTGCTGTATGGCTTTTTCCAGAACGTTCTACAATGAGATTTCCTGGTAGCTCATTAAAGTGTGATTGCAAAGTGATTCTAAAAATAGCACTGTGATTCTTTATTGTTTCTCAGTTTTCAAATTTCCTCACTTCGTAAGTGAAAAGCTGCTTTTTATATTACCAGAATCCTATATTCAACCCAGGGTTTGCATTCTCGTGCTTTCCCCCATAACCCTTATCCAAGTGACATGTAGCTACAGGTGTCCTGGAGGAGCAATTTAGATTTCCCCGTTTTGTTCATGGCAACATGTATTCCGGGAGTCCCCGTGTAACTGCCTATTTCCTTCTTTGGAACTCAATTAAATGACCATATTCATTCTAGCACACTGCAGCTGGCGCGGAAGGCGGAGGTCAGTCCCTTGTCTCACCCGGCTCTTGCCTCGAGGATTTCCGTGCTACTCCTTTCATTGAATGCAATGGTGCCAGAGGAACCTGCCATTACTTTGCAAACAAATACAGCTTCTGGCTGACCACAGTCGAACGCACGCAGCAGTTTGTCGGTGCTCCTCCCTCAGAAACTCTGAAAGCAGGACAGCTCCGAACCCGAGTCAGCCGTTGCCAAGTGTGCATGAAGAACTTGTAGCAAAAACAACCCAAACAAATAAAACTTTGCTACCTAAGAGTTTAAACCTCATTCATTGGAAGAACTATAATCACATACACCCATTCTGCTGGTGGTTTGTGGATAAGTTACAACAGCCAGAACACTACTGAAATTATGTTTTAGATCCATAAGAAACATAGCTCCACACAGAAGGAAGGAGGGACAGACTAATCTCTGAAACCTCTGACTGTTTTGTGGAACATGGTGCTACACTTTTTCTTTCATGTTTGTTTTCCTATTCATGGCTACCTCAGAAAGTCTCTGAGCCTTTCTCATTCACATTGCAGAGTGACAATATTATATTATACAATATTATAATAAAGCACTCCATATTATATCACCCATCCGTTTGATGCACTCATCTATAGCCAATGATAGATTTTCTTAAACAAGTTTGTGCTTCACAGATTAGTTGTCTTTGCAGAAAGCATTTGGCATTGGCCTAGGGCAATACGCATTGATTAGATGAGAAAATATGTAATGAAATGGATTTTCAGTTGGAAAGGAACTTAACTCTAAACTAATTAAAACAAATCACTGCAGCAGAGGTGCTCAGAGTATTAAGCATTAGATACTGAGAACTGGCTTCCCTGGGAAGTTCTTACTTAAAGATGAGCTTGTTTTGTTTTGCTTTTTAAAGGAATTGGCATAATCTTTGGTTTCAGTGATGCATGAGCAACTTGGAGCCAAATTCAGACCAGCTGTAACTGATTTTGCATTCCCCCTCCATGAAAAATTTGGATTTCTACCTGGACTTAAAGCCATTTTCATTATTCAGCACAGCTTTATCACTATTGAAATGTGTTCTATGTAAGCACACAGTTCAAGATTTGTTGTTACCCTTTTGCACCCTAGCAATTTGTGACCTCCAGAATAATTTCATTAGTATTTACATATGAAATCATCTTTCCGAGGTAGCCTTGGAACAGTTTTTTTTTGTAAGTATTCAATTTGTGTATATTTTAAAATGTAGAAGCCTTATTATTTAGCATTCAAGTTTATGGAAACATAGAAGCAAGCAGTTGTTGGATGTACATTTTTTTACTGCTAAAATCACCTGTTTTGTATTCTTCATCCACTGGGCTTTATTTCTACTAGTTAAAAAACATTACTGTATTTCTAATGCACTGTTAAATATTCACACAATTCCTTCAGGTTATAATTACAATCAGTGGTTTTCAGACTATATGGGAAAATAGAAATTAAGAGAAAGCCATAAATACAATATGTCTATGCTGAGAACTAATTAAGGCTAAAGTTATTAATTTCAGCTTCTTTCTACAGTGAGGTTGACAACACCATTGGTATCAGCATTTTTAGAGGATTTGAAGCGAGGGCCTTGTAAATTCCAAATCTTTTTTTTTTTTTTTTTTATTTGAAAGACAAAACTACAGAAAAATGTGTGTTTTAGTTGGGACTGCTCTGATAAATCACATGGTATTTAAAATGGGGATTCGGTGAATGCTTAGGTATGAGACTTTGAAATTCACTTTCTGCGAATATTGTGGTCAGTAAAACTCAAATCGCTCCAGTGTTTGTTTTAAAAATTTGAGCAAATATTTGTGGAAAACATTTTTATTTATCACCCATTCTACTCATTAGGTGCCAGCAATAGAAGCATCAGAGCACCAGTTTATTTGTTTGGATGTTGAGGGGAGGGTGGGGAAAAGGGGATTCTGCTCTAGATGTACACGACTGAAATACACAAGTCTTTTCAGGAGCAGGGTCTATGTAATTGTTTTGCTTTATGTGCCATGAGTAATCTCATTGCTTTCAGCGACAGACCTTCCATTGACTTCAGTAGGGCCAGGATTTCACCCCGCTGGGTACTGTTAAGCACGAGCATGTCTTCGCAAGATCAGGGCCACAGTCTATGATCTTCTTCCACTCCTGGCTCCAGAGCTTCTTCCAGTCAACCCTGTATTTACCCCCTCTCCTTCCAGTTGCTACCCAAGACACTTTTCCACGAGGCCTGTAAACTTCAGATTTACCCTCTGAGTTGTGTTTACATAATGAAAGATAACAGGAGGGCAATTAAAAAAAAAAAAAGGATGGACTGAGCAGGACATATGCCTAACTTCATTGCTCAGTCATCTAATGGGTACTTCCCTTTTCTGGGTAGAAGTCAGTCATCCTTTAGAATGTCAGCTTTTAAGAGCAGGGGCTGCATTTTCATTTTTGTCTGGAAGGCACCAAGCACCACTATGGTCTTAAATGAATACTAGAAAAACAGCGTGGGGTGGCATCTCCTTTTGTTAATGTTCAGTTTCCAAACTGTGGTTAATAAAGGCAAACAAGACATTAACTATTGGTCTGGGTACTTATTTTTGTTCAAAAGTCATGTTTTCCCATTCAGATGCTGAGCATCAGCATCTCGCTTCACTTGGGTTTTGCAAGTACTCAGCACATCTCCCAATTAGGCCCAGTATTCTCATCTATTTGTGAAGAAAAAATGAAAATCTCCCAATTTCAAACTGCACTATCATACCAGGCCTCATCCAGATGGGAACTGTGTTTTTAGGAAACATAAAATGTGACTCAAGAATTCATTAAAAGCCCTTGTACTCAGTAAGGGCTTGATATTTCTGAACCATTGTTCTCAGAGCTACTAGAGATATCCTCAGTTTAAATAAACATCCAACCACATAACTCTGTTAGGGACTTGTATATCTAAGGTACTTTTACCAAAATAGTCTTGATAAGGTAACAAGGCAGAATTAGGGACCTTAAATAATTTGTGTGTATCATCAGTTTGGGATAATTTTTTGTTTTATATTTACGGTCTGTGCAAAGAGCAAATTTACAAACTATAGCAAGTAGCCTATGAAATGCTTAAGAAATTTATTAGATGCACAGATAAAGTGCTGTTACAGAGAAACTTGTGTAAATAAATCTATTTTAAAATAAATAAGATACAGTTAAAACAAACCACCTTTGACTTCTTGTTTTAACAAAAATCATCAACCTAAGTTTTAAGTTCAAGGTGAAATATGTCATACCTATAGCAGTGATCGTGATCTATATCAACTAATTGAGTCTCCTGTTTGTTTTAGGTCTCCCAGAAACAGGAAGGCTATTCCAAATTTATACATTAGACATAGTTCCTTTTACAGAAACATTGTTGTAATAAAAAGTGTGGTTGCTCAAATATATGTTAAAATATTTAACAAGGAAACAATTTTCTCCTGATCCAGTTGATCTTTTAAACAAGATGATGAATTTATTCCTATGATGCAGCCACAGGAGGGAACAGAAGTAAACATCCTCCCTTAACTCAACACCATTTTGCTTTCTTTAAGGACTACACATTTGCATCCGAGAGCAAGAATATCCATTTGGGTCATCCCTTTCTTCAAAGGTAGAGCCCAGTGATATACCATAGTCTTTACTTTAATATACTGTTTTTGCCTTCATCTCAAAAGGTCCATTTGTCTTCAAATAGGATGCATGCTGGAAGCAGAGATTCCCTTTAAGTGTCTGACAATGGGATCTTTGCTTCTCTTTCCACCCAGGGAAAATCTTGTTAAACTGTCACTGTCTGAGTTTTGGGTGCTGCTATGGTTTTGTATTCTGTTGTCCATAATTTCAGGCACTTGTGGGCTAGAATGGCTGTTTCTCTAAAGTCAATGCAATATGTTCAACACAGAAGAATCACCATAGCTTCCTTCATACACTCAGGATTTCAAATTCTTCTTCCAACTCAAACAGTTTATCAGTAGATTCAATAAGTTCTGCCAACAAAAATGAAAACAATATGAACAGACATGCCTATTGCTTTTCACTTTGGAAGACTTTTTAGGGCAAGATATTTTGTATGCTGGAAATCACATTTAGCCTTTTGTAGATAAATCTGGTGTTCAAGTTGCTACCGGTATTAAAGAATGGATTAGCTAATCACATTGAGCATAAAAGACACTTAGCAAAGCATAGCTGCTCCAGCTGTGATTATTTCTCCTACCTGTAAATTGAGGAACATATTGCTGCACTATAGTCCACTCAAGTCAATACGGTACCTGCTCCTGATGTTGTCACTTCTGGTTTTGCTGGAGGTATGAAAGGAGGCCAATGGGCTGGATGATTTTGGACTAACTCAAACATCCGAAGACTCTGCTGCTTCAGAATCTCCTGAGGATAAAGCACTTTTTTTATTAAAAAATATATCATATTAATGGAAAGTCCAACAACAGATCTACTTGGCTGGTCAGTCAAAACAGTTACAAGATGCAAAAAATAATAATAATAAATAAATTATGCCCATGTGAAATGGAATCCTGTTATACTTTGTGCAACCCTCATTAAAGGTCATCATTTTACAGATCTACATATAGTGAATTTCTTCGATCAGAAACATGCATGGAAGGTAGATCTCTCAAGCTCTACCACAGATTGTCAGTCATGTTATAATTAGTTCTGATAAACAAAAATGATAGTTTGTGTGTGTGTATGTGCAGCAAAGTGGCACTAAGAGCATGAAATAGTTTCCTACCTTTGAAAGTACCAAAGAAATTACTCTTAATTAGATCCTTACTAAGTGCACCGTCGGGTGATAGGAGCAGAGGACAAACACAGCAGCTCCACAAAGTAATGGATTTTGAAGGACAACTTTTGATCTGAGATGATCTGATTTGATCTGTTATTACTAAAACAAAGTTCCACTGTACCTCAAATATGGTGAATTACTTCTAACCTGTTTTTTTTAAATGGGTTTGCAAACTGCCTTCCTGAGGAAACCATCAACTGGTTTTAGGAATAAATATTTTCTGGAGTTTGAAGTCACTGGGCCCTCAGCCTACTATTACTTCCCACAATAAGTTACTACTAGGGCTACTAGGATGATCCAAGGAATGGAAAACCTGTCTTATGAAAGGAGTCCCAAAGAGCTTGGCTTGTTTAGCCTAACCAAAGAAGGCTGAGGGGAGATATGATTGCTCTCTATAAATATATCAGAGGGATAAATACCAGGGAGGGAGAGGAATTATTTAAGCTCAGTACCAATGTGGACACAAGAACAAATGGATATAAACTGGCCACCAGGAAGTTTAGACTTGAAATTAGACAAAGGTTTCTAACTATCAGAGGAGTGAAGTTCTGGAACAGCCTTCCAAGGGGAGCAGTGGGGGCAAAAGACATAGCTGGCTTCAAGACTAAGTTTGATAAGTTTATGGAGGGGATGGTATGATGGGATAGCCTTTCTGACCTTAGAGTCTATAAGTTGAGAGCAGAGGTGAAAGTAAGTCGATATTGTCTGGTATGGCGTACTGGTAAGAAAAGCCGACAGTACTGGCAGGGCCACTGATGGGGCGGAGGCAAAAGGGGCAGTGGCTCCGGGCCCTTTAAATGGCCGCCGGAGCACCAGGCGGCGCAAGTTTGGCCCCAGGCCCTTCCACCTGAGGCCCCGCCTCTTCCGGAGCCCAGAGCCGCCCCCCCACACCCAGGACCCCAGCTGCCCTGCATACTGGTAAGTCCAGTAAGTTACTTTCACCCCTGGTTGAGCCCATGCACAATGTGAGCATTGTCCTGCAAGGGGCCAAGTACTGTCTGTAGGGTGCACAACACACTCAGCTCCTATGACTTAAAGGGATCCAGCCTCTCACAGAATCAGGCCTCAGAGACTCAGTATAGCGAGTTTTAATTATAAGGCATAGGATATTTAATAATACATCACTATTAAACAGCAATAGGAAGTCTCAGGAAAGGAACTAGCCAAGACAGAGCCCAAACCATTGGTCATTCAGTAAGAATTGGCTTTTTAAAATAATGTGTGTTTTTAGCAGCTAACTAGATTACTTTAGATATTTTTACACCCACTTTCCAAACGCTAGGGGATCCTGGTTTTCAAAGTGCTATATAATCTTTGCTTAGCACTTCAACAGCATTTCTCTTTCCTTATATATTCTTCTATAACTCATTTAGCAACTGTACACTGACAGATATTTACGGGGAGTTTTCATTTACATTTTTGTTGGTAAAATATGCCTAACCTGATGCAGATCAAATTAAAAGAATATCCCATTGTTACCTTTTGTACAAGACTACACCAGTTATCAAAGTCTTTTTCTTCTTTACAAAAGAAGCCCTGAATGGGGGAAAAACACAGATAATTTTTCCTCTGCAAGTTACATGCAATATTAGCAAATAAGGCAGAATTAAGCCACTGTTTTGCAGTAGCACATACGATCATCATGCGTAAGACCCAAAATATGTATCAGACTAAGGGCCAGATCCTGAACTAGAGTAAAATGAACAGCACAGGGAAAAAAAGTTGAAAAAACAAGGAACTGACATGACATTTGCCACTCATCATACTGAATGCTCTGCTCTTTTCCCCCTCTCCTGTTCATCTGTCTTATCTATTTAGATTATAAAATCTTAAGGG